CCAGTCCATTCAATTCATTGTTCGCGCCTTCTCCATTGTTAGGTATTTCTCCGCGTTAAATATTGAATATCTATTTTCTGAGTAGTCTCGTGTTCACAGCTTTGTGGATTGTGTGGCTATTGTCCAATGCCACTACACTACTCTCCCACCAGAATCAACGTGATGTTGGTTCGATACCAAATTGGATGGGATCGTCGCGCGCCGGAGGTTACCAAGGATAATAAGAATCCTTCGGGTATTGGTAAGCTGAAAGATAAATCAGAAAGAAAGCGGCAACATCTGGTCGGGAAATACATGTAATAATTTTAAAATATCTGCCTTCATCCTTAACATGCTTGAAATGAAAATTTTGGTGAAGATTATTTGAGCTATAAAAAATGGGGTTACAATAATAATAATAATAAAACGATGCGTGTTAATAGCCGTTGGTTAATAACTTAACGTATAGGTAGTAAGTATTTTGTGTTTAGGAATTTTAAAGTAATGAATGATGTAGAAATATTAATATTGGTATTAGTTTTGGTTGAAATTATGAAATCAAATAACGATTATGCCGGTAAGTTGTCCATATGAGTTGAATTCCAATTGCATCTGTATTAGTAGGCTAACTGAAGGAACAAAAGTATACCGTGGAGAAGAATTCCAACTAGTGTTCCAGTCAGTTTGATACGGTTTATTTAGTTACGGGGAGATTTTCTCAACCTCATTTTTACTTGATCGTGATAGAATTTAGTAATACTACTAATATACATGAATGGTTATCAAAACAATATTTAAATACGTGAGTGATAATTATGTGAATTTTGGACAGATAGCTAGAAACAAATCGTTAAACATGAGTGTATTCGTAAGAGACATGCTCTAGACTCAATGTTCTGAGTTGCCATAGACTATTTATACATATTTATACCTGACCGCTGACGATGCATACAAGTTAGTTGCAAGTATGCAGTTTATCATAAGGCGGAATACGATTCAATTGAGATATAGTGATTATAAGTTACTGAAATCAGTTAAGTCTATATACTACATTACTAGGTGATATGCTGCAAGATGTATTCAGCTAAATAAGTTTCTACAAGATAATTAACAGTGAGTGACGCTCATGTGATTACCAGGGAGGAAACAAGTTGTAGCCAAGGGGAGTACACTCCCAACTCATGTCTATGATAATGGCTTGAACCTTAGTCAGTGTTGGGGTAAATTCGACATTGATGTTTTCAGTTTTTGCAGGAGATTTGCTCGACTGCTTATACTGATTATTTGCATGCATGATTGTGTCGCTAAACCATCAATTAGACTGACAAGGTTTTGAGATATTTACTGAATGGGCAACTGATAGAGAAACATACTGTAATCATCTGTGATGGATGAAGATACCAAGAAAACAACACCATTTAATGGTAATTATAAGTCAATTTGTTGACCGATTTCCTTAATAGTTTTATTAATTTTATCAGTCATATTACGTGATTGTCAAGTTATGACAATGCTTTATGACGATATCCTGAAACTATTAAATTTAACTAGTTATAGTGTTGATTGAAGATTAGTCAGTGGAAAAATAGATATTGTTGACTTGAGCGATTCGAAATTATCAGAAATTTATAACGTTAAAGAATCCAAGACGCCTAATTTAATTATAAATTTTAATTCAGAAAGATTCGTTTAGTGTTAAATCTAGTAGGCTACGGAGTTTTGATTTGAAACGTTTGTTTAGTCAACAGCTACCTGGGGATTTGGTTATTATACTAGTTCAGTTGATAGTACCTAAATTTTTAATCTTATTATCTAAACTATGTTCACATTTTAGGCTGCTAATATGATAAACCCATCCATAAAGCCAAATACGATTAACAACAACGACTATGATGGGTTTATTGATAAATGTTAAAGGCGATTCAGATGATTTCTAAATTCAAAAGATATGAAGATATAGTGTAATGTATGTACGGGCCAGGTTAACATGCAGGTTGTTGACGTATATAAAAATTTAAAAATAATGAACATGACCAGGAAAAGTAATTTTAAAGTCAAGACTGCTTATGAAACTTGAGGCAGGAAGGTAACGCGTTATAAACATTCCATGAGAAGTTACGGCATTTAGCCTAGGGACACTTACAAATATGTGGCAAAAGCAACTGAAAAACATATACATGTTAAGTACAAAAAAATCATCCAGTAAAAAATAGTAGAACTCGCCTGGATTATTTTTGAAAATTAGATTATTCAGTGGACGACATATATAACGCCATTCGTGAGGAGTAGTAATGATCCAAAAGCATCCAGAATAAAACATACAGTATGGCAATCACTTCCAGGGTGCTTGATGCTGTTGAGGTCTTTGGGACTCGCTCTGATCAGAACAACTGAATGAATCCAGATAATTGTGTGTGCCATCTAAAATGAACTTATGATTGCAGAAAACTTATAGCTGGAACTCACCGTATGTTTTTGGAGTAGTCATCTTCGTTGTTTGGCAATGGAACTCGAGAATATGAAATTAGGCAGGCAGTGGTCGGAAGAAAAGATATTACAGGATAGTGTATAGTTTAAAACAGGATGAGGTAATAAGATAAGGAACACTGAATATTAGATCCAGATAACTATTTAGTCCTTGATCGCATTGTTAGTCAATGTATATTTACGCTATTTACAGGTCATATTTGCTAGAGCTTGATGTTTAAACAAGACTATGTCGCTGAAGCATGTTAATGCTATTACAGCTTGTTAACAAATCATCAAAGCTAATTAGTTAATATAGACGACCAGTTTTTATTATCAATTGAGCTAGTTTGTCATGAGGACTAATCAATATAACATTACGATAATGCATGTGAGCATTAATCAGAGGACTATTGGAATACAGGGTTAACATAAATATAAAATCGATCGAGAAAGTTGAAGTGGAAATAAGGATTAATAATAATAGGTTGCGTTTCTTTAGTTGGGCTCACCAATGTAGTATTGTGATCTACTACGATATTAGTACTGCTCTAATAATAGACCTAATCATAAACTTGTCGATTTGCCATGATATAACTGCCTAATCTATAAGATCTTACGTGGAAGTCACACCATCGACTACACCAACTCACTGTATCGTATCAATTACCAATACATGATGAGGAAGAAGGTTAGACTGGAGAAAGAACAATATATTTAATATGAATAGAGACCACGCCTGCATGGCCGAGCCATGCCACTCGATCAACTCCAGTCCATTCAATTCATTGTTCGCGCCTTCTCCATTGTTAGGTATTTCTCCGCGTTAAATATTGAATATCTATTTTCTGAGTAGTCTCGTGTTCACAGCTTTGTGGATTGTGTGGCTATTGTCCAATGCCACTACAAGCCGATTCGTTGGGATTCGCTGGGAGAACGCTAACTTCTGCGCCAGTCTCGACGAGGTAGCGAACTCTCGTTGTCACATCTGTGACGTATAACAGACGGCTATGTTCGCCAGCTACGGTTGCCGTTAACGCGTGCCGGCTTAGAAGTTTCTCGAGTTGTTTTTCGAGTCAGTCGGTTTTGAGTGGGGAAAATTGCAGGGTTTTCTGCAATTTCTGGAAGACTTTCCATACTGGTTATGATACCAGCACCAGCCGGGATTATCCGTCTCTCGTGGTCTAGAGACAGATCGCTTACGTGAAGGGCTTCTACGTGGGGTGTGTGATCTCTTACGGTCATTACGAAAATTAAGATAACGCGTAAGTGTATGACATAACTCTGTTATGTCATTCTGAGTCGTTTGAGGTTTTTCTTTGATTGAAAAAACCTCGGCAGTAGATTTCGTAATTTCTAAAATACGATCGGCAGATGCAGTCAGTTCGTCTAAGGCGTTGTTCTGAAACGAGACCAGAACCGCTTGCACCTGTTGGGAAAGTTTAGACAAGAAAAGCTGTTTGAATAGGCCTTCGTCGAAAGTTCTTAGTCTTATAACCTCTCTCATCCTTTGCAACATGTCTGTCGCAGAACCGTGTTGCAGGTCTATGTTATTAAAGAGCTAGTCTAACCTTTGTCGATCGGTTAGATCTCCTCGTTTAGGGATAGAACGTTTCAGTGTTTCGTAGGGTTCAGAAACATCACTAGTAAAGATACTAGGTGTTACGTACCTGTTGGATTCGCGTGGTAGTGCCTTGACTACTGCGAGGGATCATGCACGTATGTCGTTCACGGCGTGCTCGTGGAAGTCGGCTTCCGCGTAGCAGAACCAGGCTTCGATATTGTCGGGCCAAAAGGGCATGAGTTGGAACGAGGGTGGTGACATGGTCTTTATCTTAGATACCTTAGGAGTCTGTTCGGTCATAGGGGAATATTAAGTACGAGACTACACGAGTGAAAAATATATAGATATCCAAAAACGCGGGAAAAAATATCACAATGTATAAAATAAATAAAAAATAAGGCAATAATATATAAGAATCTCAAAAAGGAACGGACTCACGGTTTACGATTTAGTGTACCAGATCACGTTAGGCTCACCAGTGAAGATGCCAAAGGTATTCAGTGTTTGACAACGCTTTTACCAGCAACACCTAATATAATTCGTACCCACCAAGAGATATCAAAAGGCGGAGTCGAGGAGATCGGAAGAGTGTATTTGGCGATTACCAAAATATCGGAATTCTCTGATCTAATCTGGCTAGCGATTGCGGTTGATGTTGAGCACAGCGTTACCACACGTGATCTGGTGCGGATGCACGACCGAGCGCCTTCAGCTAGATGAGTCCACTAAGACATATGGTTAGCATCCAATGTTGGAAACTTACAGTGCTATTTATTTTGGGGATTTATTTACCGCTACACCAGTGTCATACAGATTTTCTCACCGAGTCATCAATTCTTGGAACCTGTTATCCGAGACAGTGGTGTCCACATCTTCAAGTGATTCATTGAAGGGAAGACTAGGTACCCACAGAATCATACTAGAAAAGGAATAACAGAGGCTATAGGTCTTCTGCTCTTACTACACACATTTGAAATGTAAAATCGGTTCTGTGGGTATTTTGAAGTAGTCTCGCTACAGTTTCGTAATGCTTTTGTGATCTAAATAATTATGGAGTGTAAGGCGTCAGTCAATGGGTTCCGAAAAACACTGTCACATGCAGTTGATCACTGTGGCCCTACAGCGAAACGCATTTCCTTAAAGGCGATTTCTGGTAGGTAGTTGTATGTGCTTATTACCTTCAGATGTTAAAGGACTTCCTTCAGCTTCACAAATATACCAAGACTCATGCTTAAAGCTTCAGAGGGCAACAAAGGCAGTTTTTCTCAGCGAGCCTGTCGAATCCACACTAGAGGAGCTTTACAGGGTTAATAGCTTATACTAAATGATTATTTTTTTCAAGAATGTCGAAGATATATGTGCACAAAAAATGATTATGGAATTGTACTCGAGCCTGAAGGCTATATTCAGTGAATATGTAGCTGGACTACAACCTGAGTTCTTAAAATATCCTTTTTTGTTGATAAGTTCTTGCCATTTCTCTTCTTTTGTCTTTTTACCTTGACGTTTCGCTTTCACAGTAGGTTTCCAACTCAACGCAGTGGCACACTGTTGGGGATTGTACTGTAAAAAAATGGTTTGTTCTCTCGTTTCTCCCTTACCGTCTTAGCTTCTCATCAGGAATATATTTCTTTTCATGGATAGACAACTTCTTCAGTTAAATCCTCAGAACTTACAAATATGGTGAGTAGGCTGTGTAGTTTTCTTCATACTTGATAAAAATCCTCTGTGAGCCTGTGGATTTTATTTCATAGCTCGCCGGCTTTGTCTATTTTGCCCAGTTCTTTGGAAATTTCAGTCTAAACCATCCTAATTCCTAGGTATTTGTTTTTTAAGGAATATTTCAACAGCTATCATTTAACTTAAATACAATGTCATATCAAATTTAAACCATTTCTTAGATCCACTCCATTTATTAGGAGTAAAATAACACTCACCAGTCATGTGACTTGATTCCTCCAAACCTACAACATCACATTCCAAGTGTATTTTGTTCTTATAACTTAACTGATTCATGTTAGTCGACAAGATCAGATGTTAACAGAAGCTAGTGGCATTTCCCAAGTAAATCAAATGTATTCATAACTATATTTGAGACGTAGAAGTTATCTCTTACTTTCAGATGGGCATGGGAGTTTGGAAAAAGTAGCCGGGATGGTAGCTGTTTGTAGCTTTTTGAAATGTTTTTCCCAAACTCGAATTTTTCACTAATTTTCATCTAGAGATAACAGAACCTCGGGTTGTCTCTGTATTCTGTTTAATAAAGCCACCTTGAACAAAGATAACACTTCATACGGTTGACCAGGATTACTTTTTCCCAATGCCGGTACATTGATGCACCGCACTGACAAAATCATGCCACGTATTCAATAGGTCCGATTTACCTTTGCCAACTTGCGTCACTTATTGCGTTAGGGAGATATCTGTATCCTAATCAAAGGAAGAGTTCACTGTTCAGCAGTTCGTTCTGCTCTAGTTTATGAGTGTGAAACACGACCATTAGGAATAGAGGATATCTAAAAGTACTTCATCAGCTGAGGCTTGTAGGATATCTGTTACGTATTCACACCCACTGTCTACCTCGATGGGCAATGTTTCCTGATATAGGAGTGGATTAGAAAAAAGCGAGGGGAGTTACACCAAAACATAGCATCAGTTCATTAAGTCGTTGGAAATTGGACCGAGCCATCTTAATATGTGTGGACTACCTTGTTGTGGTCAGGGTGATTCTCGTACCCAATGGTTAGACACTCTGGCTGACACGACTCAAAATCATTTATGATGATACAGGTGCATTCATTCATTGTCTTCTCTCAAATCCTGAGATTCTAAATTCTTCATAACGCTTGTGCTTTTAATTCACTAATTTGTATTTTCTTTTCGAAGCCGTATCTTCGGTGCCTAGTTTTTCGTATTACCACTCATACTAATACTATCCCTTCTATTCTGAGATTTTGCCTGATGGTTTCATCTCTTCGTGCTAATGGGGTATGACAGCTTAAACCGATGTGTATAAATACAGGGTACTGTGTTGTGGCTGACTGACTGCAAAATACTTTTTTTTGATGCAGTTAAATAGAAATTGTGGTTTTTGTGAGTTTTGGTGTCCAGAAAATCTACGAAAATGACTCATTTCAGTATAGATAATTAGCAATCACCAGTTTTTGGATATTTAATCCATATTTAACATATTGGTAAGCATGTTGACGTAAAGGAAGTGGCAGAAATTGACATCTTGCATCCTCTGTAAAGGTAAGTGGGTAATATTGCTGATCTGTGTGTGGCCCCGAAGCAGCCAAATATATCCGTCTCCAGCTCCTCATCCTAATAACCTATTCTTTTACGTAGAATTTTTACGAAGTGGTGGTCTTCATTATATATTTCCATCTTTTAATCTGGGATTCTCCAGTTTCGTTTTGTTCTAAACCTCGCTGACAGTGCGGAATTCGGACGAATTCATTTGATTGTGTTAAATTTTTCGACTTACCACTTAAATGTTTCATTTAGTTCCTGCTCTTGCATTTAACTACGTAAACTAGTTCAAGCAGTGCTCAAAGGAGTTATTGGCCAAGTATCAATAGATTGCCAGTCCTACCAATATAAGAAAGCTCATTTAAACAGGATACTTTGAATGTATGCTACGTATTGTACTTAGTGATCCCAACTAGTCACTAAAATCGATACAGGGAATCATATTATGGGTTGTAATCGGTTAAAAGGTCGCGAACTTACCATTAGAACTGTAAGATTTGCTGTTAGAATAATAAAAAATAAGGGCAAACTACTTTCCGTTTATATCGATAGAGTACCTAATACAACTTTTGCGATAGCACTAATTGTTATAAAACAATGAGCTATGGAAATGTGACCGAACTTCATCGCTAACTAACCTCTTGGTAACTATAAAGTGCTTTATTTTGATAAATCGTTGTTGAATGATACCTTGAGTAAAGCATAGGGATATAGTGATTATCTTGAAGGGAGCAAAATAAAAAATTTGGCAGAATAATTTGAATTAATTCAAAAGGAATTTATTTAGAAATATAGAAAAGTAAAGACTACCTAAAAAAACCACAATCGTCATAAAACCTATTTTCGCTCAACTTAGATTCAAGAGTGTCTATATTGCAATGAAAATAAACAGAATAAATACCACACTGACCAGAACTTGTCCTACAGCTCGGATGACTGTCCTGTATAAAACTATTCCTTTATTCCAATCAAATATCAGTAAATGCTCTTTCTGTGTTACCCTCAACTGCGCATACAAATGTATGTGTACATGCCAAAGCTGTCATTGCTAAGGCAAAGAAAAGCCTACATTCGACTCCAAGAACATATCCCAAAAAGTTTCAGGTCATAGGGGATTAAAGGCTTTCAGCAGTGTTATTGTTAAACATCTTTGTGACATAAGTTGTTAGGCTGATAAACTGAAATCTTTCAGCACCAACTGACAGTCAAATTCCATTGTTTTCAAATTCGCAGAAGCTATAGCTATCAACCACCTCAAGCTGGACTTATTTATCCGAAAGGAAATAGTTGCAAATCTTCCCTTACCATAATAATTTTATCGTCAGCTTGTTACATCATTTTTGCTATTTCCTCTTATTTAAACTGCATCAATTTCGAATTCATAAGTTTATTTTTAACTGACTTAACTCGTGTTATTCTCAATTGCTAATAATTAATGTTAGGCTTCATCATATAATCAGTTCATCATTTCATCTCTATGATCTCTTGTTATTATGTCTGGTGATCCTGAATTTTCCTTCACACATTGTTTGTTTACAACACTTTATGTGTCTTCAATCTCACTATTCCACCGTGATGATACACTTCCATTTCTATTATTATAATTATGTAAACCTTATCTCAGTTTTCGTTTTCTAAAAACATAGATTGTAAGCTGATGAGAATTTTCCGAAATAAAATTAATTCATGTTATTCTGTTCAAATCCTCGACTTTGCTCTCTTTAAGAAAATATGAAGAACTAAGTGTATGAAATTACGGAAATCAGTTACGTTTGAGTTTTTTCTACCATTCTTCAAATCGTTAATATGATGGTCAGTATTTTTGCTTTTGCTCCATTTATTTATATGGGGTTTGACAGTTGTAGTCGACGTTCCATTGTTACAGGTACCGTGTTAGTGTCGTTTATCGATCTTACTTTTTATGGTTCTTAATTTTTGCTAGTCGTTATTCCTGTCAGGATAAAGTTAAGCTTTGAGTCTACAACGGTTTTATAGGAGTCATCATTGTTACGAAAGGTCCTTTCAGTTGATCTAATTAACTTAATCAACTCATATTTTGTAAATCCCCGTACTGGAAAATAAATTTTTGGCTACTTCAGCAGTAAGTTAAAATCTTAGACACTGTAACTGTTGCTAAGTCATACAAAAATATCGGTTATTTGCTCCATGGATATCTAACTCCCTTGTTTCCAGGGATACACTCTCTGTCTTCCCTTAAACTAACAGAATAAAATCGCTTCATATCCTTCTTTCTACGAACTAATTCTTTCTTCTTGTACTATATCCTTATATGCAATCCTTCTTTTAAATATTACCACCTCTGAATTAACTACTTTTATGAATCCTATGTTCATCTTGTTGTGCTAATGAAATATGGCAACTTAGACCGATGTATATATGTGCCTGGTCCTACGTTTTAGCTGACTAACTGACTGACTTTCCAGGGAAATTTCGACTTTTTAAGAATTCTCTTTGTATGGTGTGTACTTCATTCAAATAGATAACTTGTTTTAGAAGCCATTGACAAATGAATTTTCCTACCGAATACTTGGATACTCATTTACATCGACACAGTAAGCTGTTAGTAGGTGATTTTTCTGCTTGGTGAGTTATCATTTAGAAAAAACATATTGTTTTTTGCTTAGTTAAAGGAAGTATTTAGACCTACAGTTTAACCACCTTAAATATGCAGTGTAGACAACTTTTAATTGTCATATTCAATATTTGGAGACTTGCTTACGCTAATGTTTGAGTGTATAATGTCATTTTTCCATTCTACCCACTCGTAAATTTACCAATATAAATTCGTACGTTTTGAACTTCATAAAAATTCTGCATGAAGTGTGCCGTTTATGCAACTGGTTTTAGTTGTTTGTAATAACCATTGCTTCTTTTTTAATATTTGCATAGGGACCTAGCTCTTAAGTTGTTCCGAGAAGATGTTATCACTCAGGAGAAAGTTCAATCCCGTTTGATGTGTCAAATACTGGATGAAATACATAAAGAACGATGTGGAGAAGCTATTGATCGACAACTTTTACGTACTGTCATCAGAATGTTGGTGGATTTAAAAGTAAGTTTGGATTATTTAAGCTTTACTATCTATAATGTGACAAGAATTGCTGTGTACGACCCTGTTGGTTACGGTTTTAATAAAAATACGTCATAGACCCACGTTCTTCTATAGGATCTGTCAATTGAATATAAAAGAACCTTGAACTTAATTTCTTGACTACACATACTCATTTTCTAAAACAATTTATATTTGTTATCTAAGGAGTGAAACGAATACACGGTGTTAAGGTCGAATCAAGTTCCATTATTGTCCAAAATTTTTTAAGTTATCTTGTATACTAGAGTTAGTAACAAAGTACTCGAACTTCATTTGTGCGGTTGATTTATGTGGGTAACTCAGTGTTTCCAGAAAGGAATAATTATTTAACCACATACTTTTTGGTGTCTTACATGTTTAAAAGTAGTCAATATCATTAAAGCAGATGAAGGATTCAGTAGACATCTAACTTCGCGATCAACAGGCCTGACTCCGTAAGGATCGGCTGTGCACAGACCAAGTCGCCACGCTACGGATTATCGTTGAAGAGTCAATTGAATGTAACTCGTCACTATACATCAACTTCCTTGGCTATGAGAAAGCATTTGACAGTGTAGTAGGAGGACTTTATGGAAAATTCTTCGACACCATCGTGTACCTCATAAAATCGTCAACATCATACGGAATTCATACGACGGACTACACTGTAGTGGTGCATGGAGAGACAGGCGACACTCATTTCAAGTAAGGACCGGAGTTAGACAAGGATGCTTACTCTCCCCCTTTCTCTTCCTTCTAGTGGTTGAATGGATTATGAAGACCTCCACATCTCAAGGGAAGCACGGAATAAAGTGGACATGTTGGATGCAACTAGACGACTTGAACTTCACAGATGACCTGGCTCTTCTATCCCATACACATCAACAAATGCAGGTAAAGACAACTAGTGTTGCAGCAGCCTCTGCGTCAGTAGGTCTCAAAATGTACAAGGGAAAAGCAAGATCCTCAAACACGACACGAGGAACACTAACCCAATCATCCTTGGTGGAGAAGCTCTGAAGAGTTGTGGACTTTCACGTACTTGGGTAGCATCATCGATGAACAAGGAGGATCTGACACAGACATAAAGACGAGAATTGGCAAAGCAAGGACAGCATTCCTACAGTTGAAGAACATATGGACCTCAAAACAAGTGTCAACCAACATCAAGGTCAGAATCTTCAGTATGAACGTCAAGACAGTTCTACTATACGGAGCTAACACTTGGAGAACTATTACAGTCACCATAAAAAAGTACAAGTATTTGTACGCAAGATACTCAATGTCCGTTGACCAGATAATATCAGTAGCAGAACAAATCAACTTCCAACTGAAGAGGAAATTAGGAAAAGAAGCTGGAGGTTTATAGGACATACATCACGGAAGTCATCAAGCTACATCACGAGGCCAGTGCTAACTTGGAATTCTGAAAGGGGATGGGAAAGAGGAAAACCAAGGAACATATTTTTTCGGGAATTGGAAGCAGACATTAAAAGGATGAATAGAAACTGGAAACAACTGAAAAGAATTGTCGAGGACATAGTTCGGTGGAGAATGCTGGTAGGCGGCCTCTGCTCTACCACGACGGGTAACAGGTGTAAGTAAGTGTGTCTATAACTTGCGAGAAACTGATGCCTAATCCACAATAACTGGTTGGTGGATACTAGTAATTTTCACCTCTAGTCATTAATACTGGTTAGATGATGTAGTGTTGTAGCTACTGAGCTCACATCGTGATGCTCTTCAATCCTACTTTGCTAAAGGTAATATACGTTCAAGCCTTAACCAACTCTTAGATATTTAATCGGTAAAAATGAGATTTTATTATTGTGAGCTGGTTGTGATGACCTTGAAAAAACCATATGATGAACAATTATAAATGTGGAATATGTGATTTGCTATTTTCATGAATCGTCATGCCTGATTGCTTCATTGTCACTTCTCTCTAAGTCATTAACATCATGCTTTTGATTAATTAACTGTTTCAGTGTAAGCTTCAAGCATGTGATGTTACTAGGATAATGATAGTTTGATTACGATTTGTTGGAGGCCAGTGGGAAGCCTCGTTTAACAACATGTTACATCAAGAACTATAAGTTGTTAACTACTTCACTTTGATGTATCACATTTGTTCTATTTTCTCAATGAAACCTAGACCCAGTTTTTTTTAAAATATCATAAAACACTTAAGTTGATGCAACGTTCTACGTCAATATATATTTCTGTAAACCTGATTACGTATCACAGAGCTAACTGAATTGGTATGTCAGTCAATTCGTATGTGTCTTTTCATTCTTCGTACATTTTAACATATTTCTGTAAATGTTATTGCGACCAACTTTTTTTGTAAACTGACTCAAGAATAAAATTGCAGTTATGGGAAAATTTTAATGCTCAACTAAATTGGGGTAAATATTCGAGCAGAAAACAAGATATTTTTGGAAAAATAATTTATTATTTATGACATTTCGATCTGTTTACTTAGTCGTACCCGTTTTTATTTCTTTGCTTAGCTCTATGATTCAATATTCCTTGCAGAATTTGTTTGTAAAAGTCAACAACTCTACGCTTATGAAGCAGATACTCTATCTAGACAACTCAGTGTTCCTGAATATTTGTTACATGTGGACAAAAGGATCATTGAGGAAGAAGATAGACTTGTTGTGTATTTAGATGCTAATTCAACTCGTAGTTTGCTTATGTCAACTCTGGTTTCGGAATTATTAACTCGTCCATTAGACTATCTACTGGATAATGGCTTAGTTAATCCATTGAAAACAAAACAAACTTCCCAATTATCTTTACTGTTTTCTTTAGTTTCACGAGTTCCCAATGGTATAGAAAAACTGCGGACACATTTCCGTAATTATATCATACAAATGGGTCGTGAAATGGTGGAAAATCCAACACATGATCCTGAAAAAGATCGCAATATGATTCAAAATTTATTAGATTCACGGGATTTTCTTTCGGAAATTACTGTATCGTGCTTTTCAAATGATCCCAGCTTTATGCGTGTTCTACAAGAAGCCTATGAAGAGTTTATCAATCAACGTCCGAACAAACCGGCTGAGTTTCTAGCTAAATATCTTGATTCTCATCTTAGATCTGGAAATAAAGCACAAACAGAAGAAGAATTGGACAAGTTAATGGATAAGGTAAACATTATGTCGTTTTCTAATCATTAGTTGTTTTTTCCGTGAAACATTTTACATTTAATGTGTCATCTATCATGACTGATATTTCTTCAAACAACTATCTATTGACTAAATATTTTAATAGTAGCACGATTCTAATTTACTTGACCCTTATGATTATTTTATTGGTCGATTTCTTAACTTGTTATTAAATGTTGGAATTCTGTTCCAGATACTCGAATCTCAACCGCTGAGTTTCATTGTTTACATTCGCAGAACTAATATGCTCTATATTGTAGTGAATAAGTGGTATACATAATGAGTATTCTTGTTTCTGTCATCGACGAGCCTCTATATCAATTAATTATCCGAATTAATGATGTTTGACTAAATGTCTAACTTGGTTTTATCTGCGAATTCGAATGTCAGAAAAGTGGTTTACCCTATTTGTAAAACTTATGGTTGCGTCTAGGTTTTTTAAAGCTATTTTTCCAACTGATTTCATTTTACCCTAAAGATATTCTCCTTAGTCATATGGCCAATTGTAAATGCCACTGAATGTTTTTCAAATCTATCTATTTCCTGATAAATCCTAATGTCCTGTGCCTCTTCAAATATCACTTGACGGATTCGTCAGTCAGAATACTGACTTCTATGACCTTGTCCCCGTGCTAAACTAGTAATGTGTTAACCAGCACGAGTAGCCTTGAGTCAACTCTGAATCCTTATTAGTCCTCCATATATTAGCTTCTCGCCTACTAAGCCCGTTCGAGTCCGAACTGAAATATCGGCCTCCACGGTATGGATTGTATATTTATATACAAGCAAACCAGACCCCGTCACACCATAAAATGAAAAATAATTATGATACGAAATCAAGCCAAAAGTGGCTGTGAATATAGCAGACTGTAACTAATAGATTGCGGATGGTAAGTCCTATAACAGTAGCTTATGATAAAAGGAATATGAATATATATGTAATCTGGTTAATTAATAATCATCCAGTACGAATATGTGTAATAATTTTTGACTGAGATGGTTGGGCCATGTGTTACGTATGCCCAAACACCGACTACCACAACGTGCAATGCTAACGGATGTTCGGGATGATTGGAAAAAAGTTAGGGGCGGCCAAATCAAAACGTGGCATCAGTGCTTGAAGTCACTAACATCTAGTCTGGGCCATGTTGGTAGATGCAGACTACTTGGTTGTGGTCCACGTGACTATCGTAACCAATGGTTAGAGACTCTTGATGATATGGCTCAGAATCGATCACAATGGCGTCGGTGTATACACTCCCTGTCTTCCCTTAAACTAAGAGATTAAAATCGCTTCATATCTTTCTTTCTACGAACCAATTCTTTCTTCCTGTACTATATCCTTATTGCAATCTTTCTTTTATATATTACCACCTCTTAATTAACTACCTTTATGAATCCGGTGTCCATCTTGTTGTGTTAATGAAATATGGCAACTTGGACCGATGTATATATGTGCCTGGTCCTACGTTGTAGCTGACTGACTGAATAATTTTCCATAAATAATTCCTAGCAGTTACTGTTGACTTATTTTTCGTTCGGATATAACAGTTATATATAAGATGTAAATAATATCTTATACTTACATATTCATAGTAATAATGTCAATTTACTGCAGAAACACTCTTAACAAATTTCTTTATTTTGATCACAGGCTATGATTCTGTTTCGTTTCATCGATGGAAAAGATATATTTGAAGCATTTTATACCAAAGAATTAGCAAAACGTCTTCTTTTGAATAAAAGTGCATCAGTTGATGCAGAGAAAGCCATGCTTTCAAAACTTAAACAAGGTAAGAATTCAGGATCTGACTGCTTGCTTGAAATGTTATTATTATTTTGTTTCTGATGAGCAATATTTTGGAACTGTTTTAATTAATGTAAGCGTCCATTTTTGCTAGTAGATTGATGTGTTCACTGTATAGATTTATTTAAAATTGGTCACTTGGTGGTTACTAGGTTGGCACTTTAGGTTTTGATGCTGATGTTACTTTTTGTAACGAGAAATCTTGTGTCGATATTATGGTGTAATGTGTATTTGTTGTTGAACGTTTCGAAACTGACTCCATCTTTACTATATACTCACAAATATCATTGGTTATCATCCCTACACTCATTCTTTGGAGTTGTTAGTCGCACTGCCCAAAACACAAATGTGATTCAAAACACACTAAGTACATTTGTTTATGTTAGCCGTGATATAATTAGGAGTTTTATTCCAAGACCTTGAAATTACTTGAATTTCTTAGTTCTCTGACAAGTTGTCGACCAACTAATTGTTTATTTGTTCTCTTCTGAATTATTTCATCCTTCTGATACTGATAGGGTTGTACTTCCGTGAACAGTAGATGTGGACACTTTACACCCTTTCTTAGCCTCGGTTAATCCAAAAATAAAATCTTAGGTAAGTATTTTATTGGGAGCATCAAAGAAGATTAGGTTGGCTAAAACCTATTGTATATAGTTTGTTTACAACCTCATTTGTAGTCAGACATCAGAACTACGTGCTAAAACAGTGAATCAGTGATGAAAATTGCCTTTGGCTATAATAAAAATAATATAAATCTAGCTTAAGAAATCTTAAGAGTGGGTTAGGAATATTCAATCCGGAATCACTAAAGATCTAGGTATAAACTAATAAGTATTGCAAACGATTTTAGGGCATCAAAATATTTCCAAATGGGATAGATATTCGCTTTTGCAGTCGTTTATTTGATTGCGATCAGCTAAATCCATGCCATCTAAGTTGTTAATCTTGATTACGTATTTTTAAGAATTTGATTTATTTCGTATAGTATTCGACTGAAATAGAAGGGATCTCAAGAAATGTCAATTCAGAAAAGTACATCTCTTTATTTTGTATTATTAGTGTTTAGAGTTATCTGAAATTTAAAGAATTACAGTTATACTCATTTTTCCTATTCGTGGTTCTTTAAAAATATTTATAGAATGTGGACCAAACTATACACGCAAAATGGAGACAATGTTTCAGGACATCGAATTAAGCAAGCAGTTAAGTAAAAATTTCCGTTTATCTTTACCTGATACTCATGCGATCGAGTTAAGCGTAAATGTGATTTGTCCAGCATCTTGGCCACCGTATCCACAGACAACAGCCAATTACCCCCCTGAAGTAAGTATTATCTGTGAAAAATATTTCATAAACTAACTGATTGCCCTGTACTTCGCTTGTCAATACCATTTGAAGTCAGACAAAACAAAGGACTATACTAATGTGAGTCATTTCACAGTAGCATAAAGAAAGTGAATGGGAAAGTGTGAAGAAAGCGAGATATGATAAGGATGTATGGGAAAACGAATAGGAGTCAACTGGAAATAATAGTTTCAGTTAATTATATACTTATAAAATAATTGAATACGTCTGATTCAGTATAGTTGAGTTAACTGTTATTTGTAGGCTGACAGACTATTACCACTGGACATTTTCAACCACTATTGAAGTACGTTAACGAATTTTGTTATATAATCGTGAAATAACTGGTATACGTTTTTTGTATGAATGCCTAGTTTCAGACAGAACATTCACAGAAGAATTTGCACAATTAGGATGCTTATAAATAGCCAATCCTGTTTCAGTGACGTATCACCTTAGTAATAACAAACGCCGATGCGTTACTTTCCTCATATTATAAGGCAGATAAAACTCGTATGGTTCACCCATTTATATAGCTAATTGATGCTTACGCACTGTTAAACTGGACTAACCGAAGTATGATTGTAAAGCGTTATGAGTTTTTCATTATTTTCCTCCTTACCATCATAATAATATTTAAAATAACGGGCATTTGATATCTTATATTCTTTAATCGTGTTGTGTGCTTAGTGATTTGAACTTATGGTTCAACCAGTTAAGACTAAGACACTCCCATTCATCATTGTAGCAAACGATTGTTTTTCTTCTCTCCACACATTAGTATTGTATAATATTGAGACTGATTCAAAGTTCCCATCAGTAATTTATATTCATTTAAATATTTACTATAGTAATTTGGGTTATTTTATTCCAATTTTGTACAACTTTTCTGTTGTTTTAGATGGTGGCTCTTCGAGAGGAATTTACGCGCTTCTATTTATCCCATCACCAAGGTCGAAAGCTGATATATGAACCGTCTTTAGGAACGTGTGTTGTAAAAGCTATATTTCCGATGGTAAGCTAAGTAGATCGTGCGTAATTGAATATAAACATGTAGTTCAAATGTTTGAAATTTATCGTGAAATAATTTTGGATCTGAAAAAAAAATCGTGTGTAAAGATTATTGTTTAAATAGTCAGATACAAGCTACTGAGTTGTTTATTCTAGTGGATAAGAGACCAGTCACAATCATCATTTTAAGCTATAAGCTTTGATTATAATTCTCATTTATGGGTTTTGTCTATAACGTTTGTTTTTATTTAAGTCTAAAATCCGCTTTACGCCATGTTCACAACTTTTACATACTGGTCGGTCACTTTGTGGTGACCATTTCCATATTATATAATTTTTAGTTTCCATTTTACGCGATCGACTAAGTCTTAATGCATACATTAGTCTAAGTGACTAGTCCCTTGGTACGGCTGAGAGTGGGGAGAGTCAGCTCTCTCTCTCGAAACGCTCACATGGCCACGCGTATACAGCTACTGCCAGGAAGTCGTACTCACAGCATTTCGCGGCGGGGGTGTTTACAAAATTGAGAGGATAAAAGTCATTATTATTGGCTTTATTGAATATTATATTTTTGGTACAATATAGAATTTTCAGCACAGAGTATTTCAACAAGTTTCTCTTTCTTATTTCTTGATCGATCCTTGCGATAAATATTGAGTAGTCGCCAGTTAGATGTTAGCAGTCCAACAATCGACATCTGAATAATGTATATTCTTTTCGATGATTACCAGCAACCACAATGTCTGTGATTGGGCCCTTTTGTAACTTGTACAGCGGAATGTCGTAAACTTTTCACAAACGCCCCTGAATAGGTTATGAGACCAATAGGCATAATTATGTGTTAAAACAAACAAGAAAACAGATAAGTTGTTGAAATATCCAGATGGCAGGAACATGTATCTCAGATATTCAAGCAGACCACGAATATCCGGCGCTTTAACGGGGTTGGTCGACACAGAGGATCCACATATGGGAGCTGGAAAACCCTGGTGCCAAACTGATGTTGCACATGAACTCGAGAATCCTAAGGAAACAAGTGATGCATAAACCTATTTCTGGTCACCAGCTACTACGGGATTTCACCTCCTTACGTTGTTCCACTGCCTTATGGATTAGACCTCTAGGTCAAAGGACCCAGGTGTGGCTGCCTAAGAAAACCACCTGCTTCGGGCAGTATCTCAACCTTCACACAAATCAAATGATTTATGTGGAGCATGTCTAGTTAGTGCTTCCTTGTACCAATGTTTATGTGTTTAAATAAATAAAATGTTACCGTTTGCTGTTCAACGTTAGGTAGACTGTTATATGGTCAGTCGTGACACAAATCACTCGTTGGCAGTAACGTCTTTAGCCATAATACGAGTTCAAATGAGAAAAAACAGTTACTTTAAGATTGTAAATGACTTTACTGATGTGTCTCTAGGATTTCTTAACGCTTATCTCCAACAATCTAACATTGAGGTCTCCCATTTTTTAATCTAATCACTTTAATGAACACTAATAATATTAAGGCATCTATTTAAACAGTATGTTAATCAAATCTAGTGATTAATTTTCTGACATTTTAAACTGTCGTTATTGTATTGAAATCGAAATTAATAGCAAGTGCTTTTACTTAAACTGTAAACAGATACTAACTCCTAATACTATGTAAATAAATATTGTAATTTGCTTTTTTCCGGCTGTTTATATTCCGAATCTTTCATCAGTGTGTTATTTACTTGCTCAGTAAAGTAGCTTTTCTGTTGCTGATATCATATAATCTGATGTGAATATGATTTTAATCTTTACTAAATTAGCATATGTTTTGATTGCCATAATTGAATCGCTTCAATGTCTTGTAAAACTTGTTCTTCAATGTGTGATATATGTAGCTACTTATTTTCTTCAGTAGAATATTTATTACGTTTATTTTCAATATGATTAAGTGTAATAGCAACCTGATGATTAGAATACTTATATTTTAATTATTGGCTGGAGAAATGGTCAAACATGCTCCATCAACTAAAATTTGGGTTTTATCTCTAACCTTCATACAAAAATTTTTGTTGTAATTTGATGATACAAACTTACGTTTATTTGGTCAGAGTTAGGAGTAATCAAAATGTTTCACTACTAGTTATATCTCACACAGAATCGATAATCATTTATTGCAATGTAAATATTATTCTACAAATATTCACATTTGATAACTCTGATGTGTACAGATATTGTTGTTATATAAGAGATTGTAGAATTATCAAGTGAAATTACTTGTTCAGGTGTTGATAATTCAGTTAAACAAATCCTAAATATTTTCAACTGTCTCACATTCATCCAACAATTTTTCTTCTAGTTTCAGTGTATTATGTCATCATTGGCGTTTTTAAATTATTGTATGCTAGTTATCATGTTCGGTTTCCAATTCATTAGAACATTATATACACATTGTATGAATGTTATCAATTATTTTAAGTTTGGTATTTTTTTACTGGACTAAAAGCAACTATTTATTTATCAGACATAAAAGCAGTACTGTTTTTGTCTACCCTCCTACTTCAATAGGCGGTGTCTTCTAGTGCATAGCATCAGTCCATAAAGTTACTGACATCTGGACTTAGCCATGTTAGTTGGTACAGACTACCTGGTTGGGGTCCGGGTGATTCTCGTACCCGATGGTTAGACACTCTGGCTGACACGACTCAAAATCATTTATGATGATACAGGTGCATTCATTCATTGTCTTCTCTCAAATCCTGAGATTCTAAATTCTTCATAACGCTTGTGCTTTTAATTCACTAATTTGTATTTTCTTTTCGAAGCCGTATCTTCGATGCCTAGTTTTTCGTATTACCACTCATACTAATACTATCCCTTCTATTCTGAGATTTTGCCTGATGGTTTCATCTCTTTGTGCTAACGGGTTACGGCAACTGAAATCAGTGTAAATAATTGCAGGTCCTACGTTTTGACTTACTAAGTGATCATGTTTGTTAATCTCAGTACATGACAAAATTGTTACGGTTCTATTCCTCTGTTTTCATCTTGATTTCTTCCCATTGTCTAGACACCAAATCTTCGTAAAGAATTACAAGTATCTGAACTACAAGCTTTAGTGTTACTGCAATTCAATCAATCAGATAATGCTCCTATTACTTATACAACGATAGCTGAAAATACTGGTATCGAAGAAAAAGAATTGAAACGAACATTACTTTCATTAGCTGCTGGTAAAGGACAACGTGTTTTGAAAAAAACTCCTGGTGTGAGTAAACTATTTTCTATCGGTATTTTTTTGTACTTTCCACTGCAACTCGCATATCTTAGTCTATTAATCTGAAGTTTAAGCGCACTCGCCATGTGGCTTGAACGTTCTGCGTTTGACTACTGATGCAATCGTGGATGCGCAGCCTTGTGGAGTTTCATACTGAAACAGAATGACTTTCCAGTGCTTCCTGGTCTCCAATGGTTTTCTAACCAGATTCTATCCCACAGCATAAAACTCGAAATGTATAAGTGTTTATAAACTCCAATTTTAGCATAGCATTTCACTGAAACTGAGTTTAGGTGAATTTGTAAGTAACATAGTAGGAAAGCAAATAAAGATTTTGTAGCAGATACATTTCTGCTCATTGTCTTATCGCATGTCTTGTTGTATCTTCTTCATATTGTTACAATTATTTTATTTATCATCGTGACTTCCTCTTAGTTTGGCGACATTATATAGGCCATATTACCCGTACTTAATCAATTTATCGTTAGCGTTCGTTTGTATATTATATGTAAAGTACTTTTATACGATTAACAGAAACCTGTATATGTATTCCCCTTTTAAGCAGTTGCGAAGTTGCAATTAGATTGTTGTCCAGATGCTGACTAAGATTTTAATGTTAATCTTCATATGACATCAATCAGCGTAGTTAATTTTTGTGTAGATCACTCTACACCTATACGACATTAGTTCTGGGTACTAAGGATCGGGTGACTATTCATTCAATATAAGCTATTCCGTACTAAGTATATCACACCTAGTCTCTTAAAATCAAGGATTCACTGTTACTACTGTAGTGAACAAGAACACGGGTGGGGACAATCGATTGTATTTAGCACATAGATTACAGACTATCTGAATAAAATGTGAATACCATAACGTCAATCGTCAATTTGCAAAATATCATTCCATCATATCAAACTGTACTGTTCCCGTTGCAAACACTAATCCATTGTCTCCCATTCCATTGTACATGTGTTTTCTTACAATTCCATTATGCTCTTGCTCTTCCTTTCTTGATCTTCGCCATCTTCTGCTGCCGGACCTTACGTTTATTTAACGCACGTCATATACTACTTATATGAATATAAGTAGCTCACACCACACTACCACTTCCATAATGCTGTCCACACCCTTGTGGAGCAACCTTATGGTCTTGTGATGTGTTTGAAAATGGTGGAAATTATTATTCAGTTAGTGATCTTATCTTACAAAATGGTCACTGTAATTCGAGCACTTGTTTATTTATGAATTCTCAGCTCATGCAATATGTACTAGCTAAAAGTAATCATAACACAAGTTACCTCGTAACATGGAATCCCGAATGTAAGGTAATGGTTTTAACTTGAAATGTGTCAGCCTATTTTATCGCCTTTTATGCAGTAAAGAATTTCATAATTCGCTGGCATAAATAACTCATAAATCGATTCGAATGTAGGTTCACAGTGATCCAGAAGTAGTTTTTTTATTTTTTATAATTATTGTCCCATTCCTTTCTGTTTTACTATTTCTTTACATATCTCTCAATACCTTCAGGGCACTAAAAATTAACATCTTAAACAAACAGATAACAGTGATGAGTTAACCTAAACTAATACTTTGTTATTCTATCACATCACATTGATGTGTTTATAGTCGGATACATTCTGTTCATTATTTTATTTTCTGTAAAAAATGTTATAGTGATTAAAATATTTGATTTTCAACTACTTAACCTATGATTTCAATCTTCACTCAAGGACATCTGGGCAGTTAAATGTTATCATTAACTTTCAAACACTTGTAACTAGTATTTTGAAGTAGGAATATTTTAATTTGTGATCTGTATGTGTTTTCCTCTTTTCATTTTTATTGTAGAATCTAGAGATTGAAAACGATCATCAGTTTGTTTTCAACACCGAATTTCATCATCGACTTACGCGTATCAAATTCAATCAGGTTCAACTAAAAGAAACTGTAAGTTTCTTTTTACTCATTAGTTCTTCATATCGATTGCTTTGAAATGATTTAGCATTGATCTCAGTGTTTTTCCCATATTAGTGTGTTGCTAAGATATTTAATGTAATGGTTAATCTGACCAACGGATTACCACTGTATACAATGGTATCATAAAAATCATCACCGATCTATTTCTATGATCTTGTAGAAATTTTATTGGAAAGTAGGCAATTCAATTAAGTTTCAAGTGTTGCCTATGACCTTCTATAAAGCCTAGAAATACTTTCTAGCTTGTTTAAAGTAAACTCAGTGGTTGACATTTGGTAAATAAAAAGTAATCTTAACTAACAAATGTTCACTGTTTATTCATAGTTTGGACTGTTTACTATTTCTAACTGAGCAATGACTTATTCGATCCAATATATGTTGTAACGTTAAAAAACGTTTAATCTAAAAACTAAATGGATACGAATATATTGTTTATCAGGTTGATAACATTGTAATATCATACTAAATACTCAAGTACCATTTATATCATTTGAAAAAGTAATTATAGATAGTTAACTCTATCCCCTGTGACGAAATAGTGTTAAATGTTCATTCATTTGATTATAAAATCAAACTGAGTAGTGTAATTAGCTATCCTCAATTTCAGTGTATACTGTGGGCCTGGAAACTTATTCGAATCATTAATCAAATTGGATTTATCAAAAGCTTCGTCACTGAAGAGCAGTAGTCATTCAAACAGAATGTAAATTAATTATACAGTGCATCGATATTTTAGACATAATAAGAATATTTTTCATCATAAAAAATCATATCTATATTTTCGTTTACTAAGTTAGCACTTCAATTTCAATATGAATGTAAGTTGTTTGACTTAATTTTAGTACACTTCATCAGTAAATTGATTTGTAACAATCCATGAGATAGTCTATATCTTCAAAATATGGACATATACATTCCTTTATTTTAGGAACAAGAACAAGTGGCTACTGAAGAACGGGTGTTTGCTGATCGTGTTGCTCATGTAGATTGTTGTATTGTACGAATTATGAAAACGCGTAAAACTATTGACCATAATTCATTATTATCAGAAGTCTACAAGCAATTACAGTTTCCACTTAAAGTAAGTGTCATTTAAACTTAGTATTTTCAGTTGTATGAACTTTTATAAAACCTTTGTCTACCTTTGTCAATATCACTGATTGCCCCAATATACGAGAAGTCCTGCGAAGATATCTAGTGATTATATGTAATCTAAGTATATTCATCACATTTGGTAGTTATGTCTCACAAGTTTGAATTACCACAATGACCAGCTTCCCAATAAATTTAGAATTTTTAAAAATAGTTATTTAAATATCTCAACTTACTATGGGTTTTGTAGACTGGAAAATATCAGGTGAAAGTCTTTCGTGAACCCTTTGATACGTCGTATGGTACTGATCTGTGATTGTCCATTGAGCAAATAAAAGCAGTCTGTTCTGTGTGTAGACTACCGTATAGTTCAGTGTTGTGTAAGAGATTAATTTTTACTCTAGACTGAGTGTGTGTGACTGTTAGTGTTTGTATCAGTAAAGTGTTTTCTGGTTTTATGTTTTTGCTCTTAAATCCCATATCTGTGTATCAATCGAGTATGTAATCTAGTGATCGCATAATCTCATATCCTGATCATATTACAGCGTGCATATGTCCCAAGCTACCAGTTACGGCTTTAAAATGGTTTCATTTCAGCGACTAGTAAATCAACAAAAATTAGAGAATATTTAAGTATGGGTTTTACAAACTTAACTTAGTTACTAAATTAATCAGTATAAATACGAATCCTTTTCCAAATTCGCACAAATGTACAATGGATCAGGAATTATTTGGAAGTAACTTTCAACCGTGCTTTTACTGTTGACCCATACCATGACTGAGTGAGTATTCTTTTTTTTTCTATGGACTGCTTTCTATTATGTACTTTCAATTTATATCCCTAAAACCAAATATTTATAACGAATGGGCGGGGTTTTATGAGATCTAATTTTTTGCTTCATAAGATGTGAGTTCTATGTTTTGTGTAGGTCGTGTTCTTCAAGGATGCATAACACTTATTGACTTTTTGACAGAATAACAATGGTAAAGGCAATAGTGGGATACAGTTTTGGTTATTATCATCCTGTAGCTCATACATGTACAAATAGCATCCTTTTATTTAATTTTTCAAAACCACACTTCATGGTTTGTTTACCTTGGATAGTTTTTTATTACTGATTTTTTTTTCCATTTGTATATATGTAGGCAAGTGATGTGAAGAAACGTATCGAAAATTTAATTGAACGAGATTATATGAAAAGAGACTCAAGTAACGCTGCCACTTATCATTATGTGTCCTAAGTAAACGTCGCCCATTTACTTTGGGGAAAGTGTTGCTTTTTTCCCAAAAATTAAGATGTATATGACAATTCTGTTATTGTTTCAAGTTAACGTTACTGATGCACTGCGTTCCATACAGTTGTGTGAGTTAAGTTCTAAAAGAACTACTTGCTACCTTTCTCTTTTTGTACAGCAGATTATGTTATACCATTTGACCTTCACTTTTATTTAAAACTAGTAACAGTCTATCATGTTCATGTCATTGTCCTTCGTGTGCGTGTTTGTTCTTTAAGAAACTATTGGTCTTTTCAACTGCTTTTTGCTTATACTTCTCGGTTGACAAACTACGAGCATCTTACTGAATATTATAGAAACGGAAAAAAAGTTTCGACCAGACAACTCGTCTACATTTCATGTTTCCTTTTTTACTACTGCTATCTTCATCCAAATTGGGTCGCAAACAATGAGAACGCTGGTCAAGAAAATCGTGTTATCGAATATTTTTAAATTTCATGTTTACCAATTGGGATAGTATATTCCCGTCCATTCAATATCATTATACACATCACTGTATTAAGTGCCAGACGTTGTAATGAAAGTTGTCTACATAGGTTGCAGACTTCTATTTAAAGAGTTCCTATTTTGTGAAAGCTAATGGGACTACTCCATTGACAAACCTGTGACGTAATAAATAAAAGCCGAACGTTCGGTGATAGTATACACGTGCATATAATAATTGCTGATTTTGCATTACTTCATTTAAGCATAGCAAGTCATTTTACATGCAGTTACATGTCCTCGTGTAAGTCGTATTCATTTATGCTCTCCAGAACCGTGGTATAGACTCATCACATCAGAAGTCACTTTACGTATGTCGTGTTAATTTCGTCTCCTATTTAGATATGTGCAATACGGGTCGGGAAATATCTAGATGACTTAGTCTCCCACGAACTCCACTATAGTCTTTAAATAATTTTTGCTTACTCCAACTGTTAAACTATTACCTAGACGGACGTTCACACGACTGTCAGCATGTATGACAGCGATGTTCTTTTGCCGTAATATTATAGCATGCATTTGTACCATATTAATTATTTGACATTGATGTTGTAGTTTGTGCATTCTGTTTAAAACAGTCTATCTAACTAAACATTAAACTCAACAATAAGTAAACAGTCAGTTGAGACTCACGACTTCCAATCAAACCGTTTAACCCTAGTATGCTTACGAACCTCGTGATTTCCTATAGAAGGCGATCCTTTAAAGTTAAGATCTAGCTAAATTACGAAGGTCATGCCAGGTATTCCACAATATCGAATCTCAATACGGCAGCATAAATGTTGCTATGTAATCCATTCAGTAGAAAGTCCTTGATCATCAATATGAACCCTTAGTGACGCTTAGAGTTTCATTCGCTGAACTTTATGAAGGGTACTCGATATTCATCGGATGAACCTGAAATTCTCGGAATTAACATGAAGTATGTAGATATAGAATTGGGTTCTCCGTTATGGCAGTTACTAGGATATACGATCGATTAAAGCAAAACCTAGCAGTCATCAAAATTTAGAGTCAAGAAAAGTGAGAACGTAAACTATGATAGATTAATGTCAGATGAACCAAAGGATTCACCAATAGATGGAGCAATAACATTACACATGGCGAGAGAGAAGTAAATATACACTTGTAGGTTTCTTCACGTACATGCATATTGACTCAACATAATACAGGAAAGACAGGAGTATATGATCTAGACTAACTAGCTGCCGAAGTACGTGATGTTGTGCGGCTGCTTCAATATCAAAAACTTCCTAAACTTTATTTTAGGTATTTATTTACTGCCGGAAGTGTCACACTGATACAGTTCACATTGTGCTCAATTCTCTATGAATGCTAGTTTTATTCTACAGGCTTATTTTTGTAGCAGTAAATGATCAACCGCATAACGCGTACCTTTTATCGGTTTTATATGTATATGTATCAATTTATCCATTATTACTTGGATGTGAGAAGGATGTCGCTTTTAAGTAAATTCCTTGATTTAAGAACAGTCTCCATTTTCTGGCACCATACTCTTCGTTTTCCTATTCATATTTGTATACCTGAAAAATCATTTCTTTCATGTATTTGAAAAGACTGATGACTTCCCTTGTGCAGTTGAATTTACGGTCAGCAATAAGAACTCTGCAAGGCAGTTTTCTTCTGTGCTTTGACCTTTAAGTTGCAGCAATCAGGAAACGCCCAGATATACCGATTGTATAGCTATAAAAACAACAGAATTCTTCGTCTGTCCACTCAATCCTTTTAAAGTCCTTCAGGTTCTCGCGGTGCGAGTACCATGAGTAGGACAGCCAATCCAGTGAGACCTAATTACATACATGAATAAAGAGCAAGGAACGATCTAGTATCATAAAAGCCGATCGCTTTAACAGCAGTTAGAAATCGGTAGGTACATCAATTTTGATGATCCAGTCAACTTTCATAATCATGATGAAAGTTATGTTTAATCGCTTCGATCTTGACATTATGCTGACAAAAGTGTTAATTAAAATAAAGATAATATGCTCTTGTGTTCAGTCGATCATAGGTTCATAAGCCAGATAATCATAGGGACATGACAAAGAACCAAGTTGGCTTTTGAAAGTGGCACACGTGTCTCTTGATGTACACGGCGTGGTATTACAAAATGGACGAACTGATGGAATCAGGAGTATTTACCGGTAAACGCCTTTAGCTGATAGTATAAGATCGAATCTGAAAAGAACTGAAACTAAGATTATATATCGGTGAAAATGACCTTAGTATTTTGAATTTAAGGGTGGTGGGGTCTTGATATTCGATGATACCATTATGAGGGCGACTGCACAAACCCAGATTATGTCACCTCTAGACAAGAGTGACCATACTCTTCTGGCTTTTGATTCACATGTTGCCAACACCTATAACGGCTGATGTCAGACGAAACGTTTGAAGATCAATTATGAGAAAATTACTCGGCGTTCTCAGTTGGTTGTATATAGAGTAAAAAAATTTTATCCAGATGGCTTCGAGGTATTTTGGAGTCTGTACGTAAAGGCCACGACAGCACAGGTAGCTTCCATTACACCAAGGCATCCAATTACCAGGTTCGTACCCTTACTCATAGAAAATAATTTGCAGGAATTTTCCAGGTTAGAGAGTGCTAATGAGGCGAAATCATCATATCGAAAACCAAAAATATTTTTGCTCTGTTCCTATGCAATTCTTTAAATTCTTTGGAGAAAAGCTTGTAAACAGGTTATATACCATTTCGCAAGACCCTTAGATTGGTTAGTGTGAGAAACGGCTTATCAGCATTGTGTGGAGAAAGTATACTTCGTCCTTGGCGGAAAACTATTAAAATAAAACTCGGGCACCTTGTGATCACTTTAGTAATGTATTTAGTTTAAACACTCACCTTACTGTGGTTTATATACATATACTCATCCTCATTCTAAACAATGTGACCGCAAAGAAATTGACGTCTTTGGTCTTTCAGGTAAATGTAAATGTATGAGAATACTCTTTAGATTCACAAAAGCAGAGAGCAAATTTTATTGCGGACTCACTAAGCATATTTCAATCAATTTGTATTTTAACACAGATTGCAAAAATAACTGATGGTATCCTTGTAAGTTTGAGCAAGAAGGCAGCCATTAGATTGAAGATGCCACAGGTATTTGGAGTTTGACAACGCTTTAACCAGTAACACCTTCTTACAATTATCGCACTCATCAAATGAAATCGAATGACAGAAGTGAGGAGGTTCGAAGATATAATTGACAGGTTATCAATTTATGGAGGACCGACTGATCTAATCTGGCTAGCGATTGCAGGCGATGTTGAACACGGCGTTCCCACTCATGATCTTGTACAGATGCATGACCGAGCGCCTTCAGCAAAGTGAATCCATGAAAACTAATGCGATCAGCACTGAATGTCTAAGGCACACAGAGCTATTGATTTTAGGGATTTATTTACCGCTACAAGACGCAAACACGAGATCTATTGGCTTGAAGCATAACCGGATGATCGTTAAGATACCAGAAAATATCGCTAGGATTCCGCTTTAACACCCGGACGAAAACTAGATTCCTTCTGAAGGGACGTACGGTGCTTAAATGAGTTAGTCCTTTTTATCAGACCTGTTTTTAGGCTTTGAAAGTTGTGTTCACTTAATAATGAAATGCTCCATACATATCCAGCCATCAATGACTCCATTAATGTCCTCAACAAAGCTTCATTCAACAGTCTGTTATCTGGGTTAACTGAACTCCGGATCGAAGGAAATGAAGAAATCATTCCTCCTCTGCTAGTTCATAAAAATGTTATTGTTTATTGAATGATACATAGGTATTGAATTTGGACCTGTGTCGTTTTGCGCATAAATCAAACACCACAATTTGTTATCGCATACGTTTGTCTTCTCCTTATATAATATTGATGTCTAAGTTTCGTTGCTGCCCAAAACATCCTTATATTAATAATATAAAGGTTGTCCTTTTGAATAATAAGGAGATTTGCTATAAATTCACCAACGATACTCTTGTTGAAGATATCTTCCATGACGTATGTTCTTCTATGGATCTGCACGAGCGTGATATATTTGGCCTTGCAATGCTTTGTAATGGTATGAAATGGTGGATTGTACTCTGACTGTTATTTTGTAGACGAGGGTTGGCTATTCTTAGAACCTAGTGAGTTTATGCACAGGATAATAACCAATTATTTCGCGACAACTGATCAAAAGTGTTCCGCCGTAAGTACTTGAATTTTTCAAATCTTTATTCCAACGAGTTCATGATTGAACTTTAGTAATCGACATAAAATCGTTTTCCAAATAGGTACAGAGAATAAAAACACAGTGCGACTAACGTAAAAACTATTATTCCCTTCAATGCAGCGCAGGATTCTATGAGTGCAACTGAAAGATCAGTGAAGTCATATACTGTGGATACGATACTGTTTCGTTTGTTCTGCGAAACAATGCCCTGGCTGTGAGCATACTAGTACTGTATTGAATCCCTCTCCCTGCAAAGTAAAAAATCCTGTATATACTAATATTTTCGATTTACTTTTCGAAGAACCAAAAATTGATGTGTGTGCTGTCATGTACCCATTCAGCATTGCGAAATAAAAATCATTACTTTCATACAAATTACGCGAGTGAAGTTTTCTACATGACAAATACTTACCAAAATCGAGCTCTTCTTCGTAACCTACTTAATAACTCCCGAATGATTTTCACCTGCATAATCTTAAGTACGTACCGTATCGGAATGACGTGGTAATGTAATGAAATTCTTGGCGCCCTGATGAATCGTTTTATGAACTTTTACTTCTTCGCGGCACCATGAATGTGTAAACTTTACGTGGTTTAGTAGTAGTTTCTTGAGAGTTGCGTAGAGATGTGAAATTGGCTCAAATGAAAATCCCAAAGTTTTCAGTAAGCTGTAAGCTTCTTTTTCAATGAATGTAAGGAAATGAGATACAACATTAACATCTTCAAGATCCTTTCTGATCGCTGTTCAGATTTCAAACCTTTCTTTATAATCCTCAAAAGCATAAAAATTTGAATATATATCAAACTGTTACATTATAGGATTCATCGGGATGACAATGTGGTAGTTAGAAGTGTTTGGATTATTATACAAAATAGGAAACATTAAATTAATGCAATTTAAGTCAAACCGAATTAGGTAAACACAGACAAACGTATTGTATTTTGAATTCAAAAAAATAATAATTGTTCATTTTCAACCAAAGTATCTACATTGGCAAACTGCTTTTACAAACCTCAATCGTGTCCAGTTTTAAAATAAACTTAACAGATTAAATACAGAAAACCATTCAGTTCACTAACTATGTCATCTAACTTTTTAAACTGGTTTCAACCATCAGACACAGTGAACTTATTCCCAACCAAATAAGTAGTTCGTCAGTGAATTTATGTGGATTGATTTGGGTTCCATTGGAAAAATATAGAAAATCTGGCAAATATTATCTATTCTATTCACGATAAAAATTGTTTTAATTTTTCTGAATATTTATAAAAGAATAAAACGTTATCCCAGGTTTCTTTATGTAGGAGGAGGATTTTATTCAGAAGTAAGAGCACCCACATCTTACATTGAGTTTATCTAAAATCTCGTGACTAGTAATTATTTTCAACTTGTGTATAAAGCGGTACAAACTAAAACCAGTTATCTTAGATAAAATCATCATATGAAAACTACACTACAAATATACCTGGTTTTTGTATTAGGAAATCAGATAGCATATTGGCTATCTATTGGCTAATTTTTCTTACGATATAAACTAGCATTTAAAGAGAATTATAAAATTAGCTTCTGCAGTATCTTATTTTCTATTATATATTGTACTGGCAGTCAGAGGCCAGATAGCTAGAGTGAAGTAATGATAGTCTTGTTGGAAACAATATAATTAAAAGTCTTCACTAAATAAAATTTAGCTAAATTCAAAGAAAAGTGAATTGAGGAAAATACGAAACATGGGTAACGGTTTCATTCAGTTCACATAATAAGCATTTCTGACATAGCTTTCATAAAATTTATAAAAAATGTTGTCTCACCATCTTGTAGTTCAAAATTGAGATTTCATTGACTAAAAACAGAGCACCTAGTAGTATTGAGTAGACTTTTTATTTACGATGTATTATTCACATAACTAAATAATACAGATAAGTTCACTGTAGGTGAGTGTATAAAATTTACCGAGAATAATCCTACAGTCAAGCAATTGTCCTATCATAATCACCCAGATGTTATTTGTTTGCAGAAATCTAACAAAATTGCTTAAAAACGTCGGTACTGTGTCCACCCATTAATCATGTCACATGTTATGTAACGTGCTAACTGGTGTCTCAATGGTTATCTAGACAAATGTTTGTTTGGCACTCTGTAATCAGACAAAGATCCATATCACTCAATGTAAGGAATGAAGTAAGACTGCAGTTAAGGTTTTGTTAACCCCACAAAATAAATGCATGACACATACAGCACTGTATTCATAGGTTCTGTCCAGATTCACTGCGTTATAAGTCATTTAGTTATCTGGTCAATAGGTTCGTTTTAATGTACGGAACTAGGCAGTAGTTAATAATAAATAAATAACTAGATGAATGTATATAACTAATAATCTCAGTCGATTTAACTGCATTTGCCAAAACACAATAAATAACCTAGTTTCACTTGTAATTCTTACTGAAAATTCTACATCCTTTTTAATTACTCGCAAAGCCTAAGTTACTGTGAACTGGTATCATAATTTGTTAGAAAGTGTAGATAAAAGGTGATAATTAGGTAGATGATAGTCAGTAAATAAAATAGATACATTAGGGATTAATTACTACATCTTGAATGCGTCAATAACTGATGTAGTTAAGTTTAAACAATAGCTTTAGCATATCCTTTTAGTCCTGTTTAGAACTCGTCACCTGGATGTATCTGCATTCCAGAGTTTATGATCACCACAGGACTCGAACCCAATGCCTTTTGCTTCATATGCCATTGCGTTATTCACTTAGCTACTGAGTCATGGTAGCCATTGACTTGTGCAATAAAGTGAGTTTTTCTTATCAATTTAACTTAAGTTTCAGCTTATTGCCCAAGTCAGTGGCTATCATGACTCAGTAGCTAAGTGAATAACGCGATGGCATATGAAGCGAAAGGCATTGGGTTCGAGTCCTGTGGTGATCATAAACTCTGAAATGCAGATACATCCATGTGACGAGCCCCAAATGGAACAAAACAATGGTCTTGGGTTCGACTGTTAGCTACCATCCATCTCTGTTTGAAGTCGTTTAATTTAATCACAGCTTCATCAGCTGTCTACAACCCGTAGTATTTAAAAACCGCGGTTAAAATTACTGATGATTGTTTTAAAAATACAACAGTATCGCTTAGCAAAGATGTAAATAAATTTAAGAGACTAAATAAATATTGTAAATAAATATCTTATGTAGAGAAACAATGTATAGTTACAAAATATCAAAGAGTTATATGAAAGGAAAGTACCGACGAAGAAGAGATTCGGAAATAGATATAATGATTCCATAAATCAAAAAACGAGTTAAATAAAATTTCAAACTGTAACAAAGAAATGTCCTTATCACAGAGGTGAATAAAGTTTGATAATTTTCTCTTTTCTGGTTTCTAACACATGATAGTAATTGCCCCAGGAAACTTCAGAAGATCGGAGCTTAACTTTTTAATAAACACTGAAAAGTTTTAGAGTATCGACTTGATGTCCTATGTTCAAGAGATATCTAGTGGTGTTTAGTGTATATTTGTTATATTTCATTCTCTTGAATAAGAGTTCTATGGGATGTGGTATCCTTTCTGTTTAGCCATTGTAATTGTTTTAGGAGGTAATTGTCAATTTATAGACGCAGCCAGTGATAACGTTTCATCAAATAGCTCAACATGTTTTTTACACATCATTAATAGTTTGACTTCATATTAGGTTCTGGCTAATGCTGTCTTGGACCTCCTACTTTGTACCCTTGTAAATTTATCATCTCTGAAGTTGAAGTGGATAAATATTGGATTTTATTCACTGTAGCTACATCTGATCTACTGTTTTTATGTATGTTGTGTTTATTAATACATTCCTTTGCATAGCAGTTATTTATAAGGCACTTTCAAATGTTAATCATTTTTTATTCTAGTTTGTCAGTGGTACATAACTTATTAACTCAATGAGTAAATGTTTTTATCAAAGCTCTCTGTTAATTGATTGTACAAAGCTTATAATTCTTAAATATCACAAATTGTGAGCAGCTGACAAGAACATAGTGAAATAAAATAAATTTATGTCATTTTGCTCAAGACTTTTACCTTGTTCTTTTCAAAGGATTTTTGTAATTATTATTATCAGGAGCATAAATAAATACTCTGATAGCTGTTTAGTATTTAATGTACATAGAAAATTTGCCTAAATTTTGTATTAATTTTGCCTATATGATCAAATAAGATAACTTCCATAAAACGTGTACATTGTTCTATTTCAAACAGAATAGTTGCCTGTTTTTTTTCTATTTACTTCATTTAACTCTATTGACATTTTTCTACATGGTATTAAACAATTGATACCATATGAGTTACTCAATTTTTTATTGTTTTAATTTAGATTGAGTTATTCATTGATTTATACAATTAAAATTTACAATTAATATGATGAATTAGACTTAATGTTTCATATAAATTCTGTACACATATGACAATACAAGAAAGCCTAAGCTTAAATTAAATCTTTAAAGTGCATACATAAAAATACTTTGAATACCAAAGATTTCTTTGAAAATAAAGGTTAGCATGAATTTGTTTTATTGTTTATTTGATTTCAACAGGGTATTTTGTCTCTACCGATAAATAAGTCAACATATCATTGTTCATTACAATCATCATATCCAACTGTATATTTTCGCATCCGATTTTATCTTCCGATACATTGTATAAATGAACGTGCAACACAACATATTTATTATTTACAACTACGAAGAAATCATGTTGCCTATGAACTATTTTGTGATCCAAATGTATATTTTCAGTTAGCAGCGTTTGCACTACAGGCTGAATTGGGTGATGCACCAAAATGTTTTAATCCAGAATCTGAAACATCCTATTTTCTACCAGAACTTTATTATCCTAAGAAAGTAAGCTGAATTATTTTTTCTACTGTTTTGACAAATAAACACTAATTATCGTCAATTAAAACATTCAACTAGTCTAAGTTCTCTGTCTATTAGTGGGATAACAGCGAGCTCAGCTTGCAATAAGTCAACCTAAATATCCTGATGGCAAATTAGAAGACGTTTCTACTTAGCTAAAATCAAGTTGCAGAGTAGTGTAATTTCAGCAGTCTGATACTATGGTGTAGACGGTGTTATATCTTGTTACTAATCAACGTTGATCATTAGGAGTCGGCTAGTAATAAAAACTGAATGAAATTATGCTGGTTAATATTCAATGACTGGTAAATGTACCTTTCATCGGTCAACTGTATGTGCGATTAAGGTAACTCATTATTCAAATCATGCAACATTGGTGTGAAAGGCTTACGTCTGGATTGAAGATGAAATTCGTATCCTATTGGATGTAGACACTTACTACTAATACACTACTCGATTCAAAAACCACCTGCAAGATATTTCCAGATCTTTAGCACTTACAGTGAACTGTATATTCAGTTTCTATAAAACAGAATAGCTTTGTAGACCGACTACTTAGCTGATAAATACTTAACGTTTCGGAAATAAACACATAGTAGGTAAAACAAGGAAAATTATGAGTAGTTAGATAACTCCTACTTGAATGAACAAAACAGTCTTTATTAAAGGATTTAAATCATACATTGATTTTCTCAGATAATATCCAACTACTCGACTGTTTATATTAAACTGGTTCTACCCGAAAACGTATGTTTAGGCATTCAGTCTTATTATGTAATAATAAGTTGAGAAGACTAAGACAATGAGTGAATATCGTATTATTTCAAGTTTAACTGGTAGTATCTGTGAATGAAGATTATTTAGATTAAAGCCATACAATTTAAATATTACGCATATAATTGTAAATCACGTTTATTTTTGAGACCCTATTGATTAGAAAATCTGTCATAAAGTGTGATACACATATATTATAGACTAAAAGTTCCTTCGAATTACTTATCAAGAATCCTCAATACAGAAATTGTAGTAAATATGTTACGTGCTTAACCAACATTTCAACTATTGTCTGGAAAAAGGGACACTAAGTGTAGTATAGAATAAAGTTCACCGTAAACGTCTAGAGTTGAAAGTCCGTTGATAACAAGCAAGTATTGGACATTTCATAACTTTCGAAGTATTAAACATCGTTGATTGCATTTAATAAGATGATCATTACTGAATACTAATATCATTTTATAAATAATGACAGGTATATTAATATTAGCATTACTGAGAGATATCGTAAACATAGAGCCTGTCATAGATGAATGTTGGCTCAAGTTGCCATACCATATTAGCACGAAAAGATGAATAACAAATGATTTCGAAATTGTTCATTAACAGTGATAAAGAAAAAAGCTAAACATCGGGAATACGTTTAGAAAAGACAGAGTGAAAAGGTAAGATCAAAGGAATACCGTACGTCAAGATTGAAAGATAAACAACGGATAAGTGTGAGCCATTTTGGATGAGTTTAGGACATGTCATTCAAAGTCTCCAATGATTGTTTGCGATTATAACGAGCCATAATTGAATAGTTTGTACCTTTCAACATGGCTCAGACCAATATTTATTGAATTTATGAACTGGTGCTATGTGTTATTTTGGTCACTATCTTTTTTCAACCTACTTTTGTACCAATAAACACGTTTTGTAGAAGTAAGATGTGGCATTATTTAATTGCTTCGTTAATTTTCTCATTATCTAAACTATTTACTCTTCAGTGTTCTAATTAAATCTATTGATTATATGTTATGCAGTGTTTTGGTTTGGTGTCTTAGAATTTTCTTCTTTAGTGACTTATGCAATACTATACAAAACTGATTTTCAGGAGTCTATTAAGATACTTGAAGCATATGTATGTAACTAAAAATGAAGTATCATAATCATAATACATAGTCTAGCAATGAAAATGATAAAAATTTCAAGTTTTAAGATGAATCTAAACGTTGCGCTTGATTTTGAAAATGAAGTTGTTTTTCCATAAACCATTCTTCTGAAGAACTTTGAGAGATTCTTTTTTCTAATGTCAAGAAAGGGAAAACATCTAAATTTTCACTTATACTCTTATTTTCATCGCTCCCTTGTTTGTTATCATAGTATGATTATTTTTATGTGAGTTTTAGTCCCAATGCGCTCAATTACTTTTGGGACTGCGAGACATAGGAAATTAGAAGACATAAGATGTAAATTATGTGTGGATAGCGTAGTTTGACTAATGTACTAGTAAGGAGGTTAAACGGCCTGAACACAATGTTTTTTGAACAGTAAACTGAAAAGGCATGAATAAACATTTCGAATCAGAAATTTAATAACTTATCCTTATACAGTATTTGATATATTCTAGGCTTTTAGTATCTACTTAAGCGAGAATGTGATGCATGAATCGTCAATAAAACGCTTTTTAATAAATTTAATTTACTGTGGTGGCGACAAACAGTATTCTCAAATTTGTCAACCACCCTAGTTATCTGGATTCACCTGAAGAACGTTAGTAAGTAGGTGTTTGCTTAAGAATGCAGAAGTTTTACTTTTCCTGAAGCATTTGTATTTATTCAATTAGATTCTATCAAGCGAAATACTACCATATTGAATTTACTTTTATGGCTATCGATATGCTGAAATCATGAGTATCTAGTAGTAATGACATATATACTTGTAATGAAGCTTATATTTTCAGTTAAACTAAAATGGGACTCTATCCAGCTGATTATCGTTTAGTGCTTAATTTCATTGCCGTACTTATTCGTAATATATTTGAACGCTTTTCAGACATGATCTAGTGTGCATAGTAAAATGATAGTAACTACTTTCATGTTGCCTTTTCTACATGTAAGTGCCCAAGGGTTTGATAACAGTCAGTATTGGTTATTCCTTCAGTATACAAAATTTAATTATACAGTGGACTAATTGCCTTAGAATCACACTGATAAGTTAAGTAATAGGTATTTGTTGTACGCATTAATGATTTTTTAAGACAATACTTTTATCTCTATCGTGTTCAGATCAAGAGATTATCAAACGGAATGGTTTCAAGTTTTTCAACACTATACATTTTATGATTTTATATACTCCTAAATTATCTAATATGTGTTTGATTGTTTGTAAAATTTAGTTTGTTAAATCGTGTGATAGTGTTGAACTAGCCTATTACACTTATATACATCATTCAGCGCTTCATAATACTGTAACCTATCTGGCTGAGTTTCATTTTATTCATCTGGCAACAAAATTGAACTCTGATTTCAATTTACATTTATATCCACTTGAGAAACCTACTCACAAATGCCGCTTCTCTGTATGGATTGGTATCAGTCCACAAGGAGTTACATTATATCAGGTGATGAAAACAAAGTAATTACCTGTTGCATTCAATTCATTTATGCTGTAATCTCTTCAAAAATTATTATATTATTAATTATCTATTGAACATTTCTATCAGAATTATTTATTTAAAAGTCAGAAAATCGATATCAGTCTTTAGAACCCTGACTTTTAGTTGTAACGTACTATACGGCTGAGTTATCAACTCGTACTTTATCCACTGCTTATCCAATAAGTATAAACTAACATAGTAAAGGAAAAGTTCACCATCAGATTTTCTCCAGATTGAATTTACATCAATCAAAAAATGGTAATATAGAATACTGTAATGTTTAGAACATTTTTTTAACATCAATTATTTTATTAATGTTATTCAGATATTTATTGAAAATATCAAAACATCATTGATAATTGTCATTCAAATTGCTTACATCTGTATCTTTTTATGTGAATATAAAACAATCCATAGTTTGATAAATTAAGGACATCACAGTTTGACGCTCATCGCTCGAGTATAATGTATCGAACATTGTGATCGCATAATTTCACCTTGATCATTATTTAATGAGCCATCATTTTTTTTTAAAAAAAAGTAATAAATTTGAAATCTGTGCGGTGTTGTTATTCTCTCTCATAAAACATATTAAAATTACCCATTCACTTCAATAATAGCTTGTTAGTGTAATTATTGTAATCTTCAAAAATAAGATAGAAATTTTGAATACGTTTCATCTTATGAATTCAGGATAGATTATAAACCTTACTAATTTATATTCTGTGTAGAATGCACTTGAAAATATGTAGTAAGGCAATCGGCATAAATTGTCAAATAATTTAATAAATAAAGAAAAAACATCATTCAATCATTAAGAAACGGAAGACTTCTCAGTGAAGAAAATTTTCTCATCTGTGATTTCAATTTCTTATGTTATACAATCATACTCGTTCATAATTTTGCATGCAGTAGCCTGTCATAAAATAGAAAAAAAACGAACAAATTTACCAAACATTAGACGTTTCCAAACATAGAATATAGGAGATTTATTGAATCACTTAATAAAGTCGTTAAAAGTTATGGAAAATTCAGTCCTAATTAATAGATAAGGTCGTATGCAAAAAAATTTAATACAAAATATGAGTCAAGAAAACTCAACTAAGAAAATCTTTTCCATGAAATCGCTTACTTATGCTGTACATTCCTAATTAGGAGTTTTTGTGCCATAGTTGGTATGATAACAATATAAATGGTGATAATAAGAATAGTAATTTGTAGGAATATCATGTTAAATAAGGAAAATTAATGTAAACATAATAATAATAATAAATAAATAAATATCACGAAAAGGAGGATTAGTCACAAAGATGGGGAGGGGGCAGTAATATTTGTATGTAGTAAAGTATTGCAATCAAGACTGAAACAACCCTATTGTGTGTCAAGGTAAACAAAGTTGTTGAATATTTTTCTGTTGTATACATAGGTTAGGTTTCTTTGAGTTAAAATATTACAAAAATCGAAACAATTTACATTTTGTATGCATTAATCAAATGAAATTAGTTTCTTTGACAGATAAATGTTCTCAAATAAACCCACTAATCCATTTCAGTTAGTAAATAGGTTATTAGTTCAAACCAGCTTAGTAGCTAAAGTACTCCAGTTTTCAACTTCCAGGCTACTAGTTCCTTCTGTGGGACTTTTTAAACTACCCAGCATAAATTTATCTGTAAATATTATTTCATTTAATAATTTTGTATTTGACATTATGGTTCTAGCAATTCCCAGATTATTGGATTGTTCCAACTAATCGTATTAAATGGAATGAAATTAAACGAATTTATTACAATGTAAGTATGGATTATATTGTTTGAATAATCAACTTCTTTTTAAAATGTATAATTGTTTCATCTTTGTAAAACTTAGTTTCTGCATTATTTTAACTGTGACTATGTTTTCACTTATTTGGTAAGAGAAATACTATCCGTCATTCCGTCATGAAAAAGAATATCAAATTATGACTTATTAATAAATACACAGTTACGAAGTTTTCTATCACTTTATTTACAAGAACGAAGTAGTGATGATGTTTCGAACACACAGGTGTTAGTCTAAAACATAATATGAAATGATTTCATACATATTGCAAAACAAAGAACTGACTAGCTACGCGTTGCTAGGTTATATATACACAAATGATTATCCAGGTCGATAATTATTTTCGAGTCTTGAGAAATATTTTATGCATAAATTGAATTATATACAATTTTGAAATGTAAAATCACATTCGTAAATTACCATATACACAAATCAATTCAAGTAAATAAACTCGAACAAACCTACTAATTGATTAAAATCGATGGGGAACTATCTTATAATAAAGTGTATTAAACTGGCATATGTTCTTAGTCTTATTTGTTAGTATATGCAAGGCGAATACACCATTACTTGTGTGCTAAATAACAAAAGTCATTTGAAGATCTCAATATGTTCAATGATAGAAAATTGTTGAAACTATAACTAATTTCCTTTAATTATTGCGAATATATCGCTCAACTAACATTACACTAAACATACATTAAGTACGATCAAGCCACACGTGACAACAAAGCGCAGCAAACAGTGGATAACTATTCTGTAATAATTAGGAAATGGTAAACGTATGACGAGCGTTAAAAAGTCCGCTAAAAGCTTATAGTAAAAGGAATTTAGAAGTGCAACAATACAGTTAGACAAGAGTATGAATAACAATCATTCGAAAACTGGTTCCGAAATTTCCAACTTTTACAACACTCGTCTCGTTATAACATTAAGTTTTCAAATCAATTATTATTATTATTATTAGGTTTATTCAACATTATATTTTTGGTACAATATAGAATTCCCAGCACAATGTATTTTAGAGAATTTCCGTTTCTTATTTCTTGATCGATATTTATGATAAATATTGAGTGACCGCCAGTTAGATATCACCATTTCAAAGTCGATATCTGAATAATGTTCATTCTTTTCAATCCATATTGCCAACCATCACGATGTTTCTGATTGTAAATTTTTGTAACTTGTACAGAGAAAGGTTGTAAACTTTTCACCGACTCACCTGAACATTTTATGAAATTAATTAACATAATGATTTGTTAAAATAAACAAGGAAACAGATAACTTGTTGAAATATCTAGATGGCAGGGACAGGTAGCTCCGATATTCAATCAGGTCGCCTTTTAGTTGTAAGTAACGTAACATAACGTACTTAGCTGTTGACTGAACACATTTTTCTTCAGTATGACATCTTACTTATCAGTGGGGATTGAAGAGGAGTTTTCTAAGTACTTGGAAAACTATTTAGTGTCATCAACAAGTAAAAATACCTACTTACGTTGACCGATTTTCCATTATTTACAACGTGTTTAGGCTTAGAAACTTGTAACTTTTTTCGTCCATCTTACATTCATCTAGAAAGAATGACTTCGTAATATTTTTGGAAATGTGATTTAAAAAACTTTCTTTTACTTTTGATTCGGTTTTCTGAATAAAAGATATCTAAACACTAAATAGTTTGTATTACAAATGGTTGTAAATAGAAATGTTATCTATTTAAAAGTTATATAAAGTTACGATGTAATTTAATTAGATAATGATTAAAAGTTTTTATTTTTTTCTTTGTAATTAATGATCGCTTAATTGGAAATATAATAAAGAAAAAAACTAACCTAAAAAAATAATCTAACGAAAGTAATGATAATCGAAATCATACGAAATCAGTCAACGTGTAGTGTAGGCTGGAATGGCACTTTCCAGATTAGAATATTTTTGATGTTGGTCAGATTGTGAAAGTTTGGATCTACAACGCGTTGGTGTGAACAGTTATATCCTGTGCTTATGAAACCTTTCCTCTCTGGATTGCGGTAGTTCGGCGGCTTCCTATGTTCTCCTGATGATTTCTGATATCGAGTAGTAAATGCGTGTCACTAATTGTCAGTTTCGGCTGTTCTTGTTTGAGCAGAGCGACGACAACTCATTTGGTTTCACTACATTGAAATATCGGCTTTGGTAGCTAGGAAATGTACTAAGAACTATCAAATAAGTGATTTATTCCCAACCCTGACATTAGATGGTAAAAGTGGGGAAGTGGTCCATTAATGATATCAAGCGGTGGTATTAAACAGAACTGTATCTCCTTTTATATACAATTTTCATTCAATTATTTTTATTCACTTTTTGTTTTCGAATGAATCCCCTTTCTTTTATCTTTCTCCTCACAGTGATGACGTATAATTATTTTAGTGGCCAGCTGTTCCAGTATTTCAGTGTACTGTAAAAAATATATCGGACGTTTATTATTTGTTCACTGTATTAATTTTGTAATTTACAATGATAAATTAAACTGTACTTAGAATGTTATATTTCACTTAGTTGCAAATCCTCTCTATAACTGTAACATTTAGTTGTTCTCTGAAGAGATGACTAACACTGAGTCACGAAACGTCAGAAAATTCAATTTTTCTACTCACTGATATATTGAGATTTATAAATTTATTGGTACTGTTAGTTTTGTTACTTCTTATTTAAGGTTTTAAAATAAAAGAACGGTGAAGTATTCTCAATTTTAATGATGTACGGTAGTATGAATAATTAAATCCAGACAAATTAACACCGTTCCCAAAAACGTATTTTTTACTTCCCTTCAAAGTCAATTTCAGACTTAAAAACATATCAACCGCATTACTTATTGTTTGGTGTTTCAGAAATTACTGAATTTCATAGCTTATATAACAGAATGGTCTAAGTGAGACAACCGCCAAAAGTGAGGACGCAGTGAACAGCTATTTCCTTGTGGTAGGAGACACATCAGCACTGATTATCCATTGTTTCATCGAGGTTTGAACTCAGGATTTTCAAGTCGTATGGCGGGAACTTAGCTTATAGACCAGTGAGTAAGCGTCCAATTATTTACTTGTCTGGTTATAATCATTTCACAATGTTGTGACGTTATCTTTACCCCACTAAAAGCTTGATGTTTTCATTTATTTTTCACTCTATAGCATCACACTGTAACTATTCATTTACGCCCTAAGGCCCGGAGGCGTGATTTCAAAATGAAAAGAACTTTATCAGCAAGACATCTATTTGCTTTGATTACTAATATGCATTTCTATCAATCAATAGCCGAAATGTCTGCGACTCACTCGAACGATTTGTTGGGGAAAATTGGTAAATATATTGGTTGAAACAAGATTTTCATTGAATGTGCTAATCCATATTTCTAAGGTCATTAATAATATCTAATAATTGCTTTATGAATATTCCTCACCACCGATTTAAATCTATTGGTTAGGTTAGTTTGCAGTGTAGGTTAGTGAAATGATCTTTAATTTCTTTGGAGCTATAGATATACGTATTTTAACAACCACAAAACTGAAGTGTGAAAGCCGTCTATAAGTCATTCACAAGAATTTATAGCTGCGTTTTACAATTTTCTAAATTGATTTTATCATTCACGAAGTTGAATATGAGTGATTGCATGAAATTTAAGGTCGTAGATAATTTTCTTCTTAATTTTTAGGATTAGGAGAGAAGAAGTTTATGTAATACACGCAAGTCTTCCACTAATTAATGTGAAACTCAACACTTCATCTCAATTACTATTTGCAATAAAATACTTGTATTATAAATGTTGGTTCATAGTGGATCCTTCATATTTAATCTTAAATACCTAACCCTGTCATTTAAGTATATTGCAACTACTTAAAAAATTGCATGATGCAGTGATTTTTATTCTCTTTGTTCTATTTATAATTTGTAGGATTTGAAGTAATTCATTGTCAGTCCCAGTATACTAACCACTGGTCAAAATCATTCGCTCTCAAAAAATATCTCAGGAAAAATTAAATAACCAATTATAAAGTGTTCCTCAACAGGTTCCGTAACTGTGAAGTAATCACTAAAAATAAAAAAACTGTCAAGATTTTAGATCGCTTTCTTCCAGCTTCTTATAGCTGTTATATTATGGTGTTCATAACCTGTACAGTAACTTTCGAATAGGGGTGATAAACCTTCTAAGATATCTTTGAATGAAAAATAGTCAACCTAAATAACTAATGATATGTGATGTTCAGAATACTCATTCTTAATTGTGGATTATAATACTACTAGTTATTAACTGACACTTAATCCAAATCGTTCGAAGCTGTAGTAAAGTCTCAAAGAAGCGAAATTAACGATGAATAAAAACGTTATCTTTTAGCGGATTGGCCAAAATATGTTGATTTAACAAATGTCAACATCTATAAATACTCGTGTTTTTCTGTACAAAAATGAACCTTTGGAGTAGTTTTTTTTTGCTTATTTTGCGCCTTTTCTCTCGAGTTCAGGTCGCTGCGTAGTTCTAGCTGCGGGTTACCAGAATAGCTTAGAAACCGAATAAAGCGTTCAAATTAACAAGACTTATCAGTTCCATTACAAGATGAAGTACATTTATCAGTGATGAATATAATAACTCGTGAGTTAAGCTCGTATTCTGGAATCTTTAGTATTGTGAACTGAATATTCACTAAATATTTCTTAAGACCTAGTACTATCAAAGATATTGAAAATAGGCAAACTGGAAAATTAAAATTCTAAAATCTAATATTTTGTATCATTCCGATTTTAAAAAACAAACAGAAAAAGCTACTTAAATGTTAAACCGACATCCAAGTTTTTTTTCACTTTCAACATATGGACAATAAAGTGTTTAAAATATATTGTAATATTATTTGCTAAATTATTGATAATTTAAATTATTTCATATCTTAAACGTAGAACTGGTTTATTTCGTTTGTTTTTAGAGTTAAGATATTCTATAAAACCATCGATTTAACAATACATTCATGCAGTTAATAAAGATTTAGCAAGTAATTAATCAAGATGTACATTAGTTGGCAACAAAGATCATTTGTTATATTATGTCATTACAATGTAATTAAATACTTAATCAAAACAGAGGAAAACTTCATGAATATGAGATTACTAAACAAATGAAGAAGGTTATAATCTAGTACGTTTCTGTGTATATTTTCTTTTATTTTGATTTTTTTTTTTCGAGTCAGATTTCGTTAAATATGCCCAGATAATATAAAAACAAAAGAAATATTTAATTATTATCTAGTCACATTACATTTATTTGTTGTTTATTGAAGTGAATATACAAATAAATTTGTCGTAATTTCCACACCAAGTTGAGAATCGGGAATAATTCTACATTAGTAATTATTTATGGATTTTGTATCAGTTATAAACATTTCATATTTACAGATAGCTTAAAGAAAAATATCCAAATAGATGTTGATAAATTATAACATATGAAGGAGATTTCCTGTGAATTTTTTCATGAAATTATAAGGTTGGTGAATGAACATCTTTTACTTAAGACACGTGAATCACTAGTAACGTTTTATAAATCCAACTTATTGTGCTTTAAATATTGTAAATAAACAAAAAGCATAAAGCAAGTACGCTAATAAAACTGAACCTTTAAACGAATGTACCAGTTGGTTTAACCCACCCAATAAACGTTGTTTGTAAATTTTGGCTAGAGATACAAATATCATGATGACAGTTATGACTACTAAAGACATTAGTTTAAGGCGATCATCTAAACATCGTGAGTGTATCCAATCACAGCACACATGCCAAGTTTCTTTTCCGCCAGAAATTTGGCTTAGTGGTCTTGTATTCATCCCATACTATATATGCTTAAATACATTACCCCTCCCAACCATTATAGCCTACTTCTGTGTTTGCCGTCGCAATGTCATAACATACATGTTATATTACAGGCCTCATTGATTTATCATAACACAAATATTCTTTAATGTATTTTTTAGTTTCTAATTTGGTTACCCCATAGAGATTTTCTTAATACTTTATAAATTGTATAGCAGTTAACGTTAGTTGCATTTTTATTTCATGTCTATACACTGATAGCAACAAATGAAATTTTCGTAAAATCAGCAAATCATCTTTTTTCTTGACTTTAAAATAATTTTGTTCCCTACAGATGTTGCATATTAAGTTCATTGAGGTATGGGAAGGAATTCAAATTACACTATCATTATCTGGACGAATGGCTAACATTAGATTGAAACAAAGTTAAATAAAGCCAGAACGAACACTGATGCAGAATAATATGAATTCATTATATTTCGTGGTTCCTCATCAGCTACTTACAACCAAATATGTATTAGAATTTTACATTGAGGTAAGATATAGTGTGGAACGACTGACATAAGTGGATGTAAAGAATTGGAATGACAAAAGTTATCAATAATAACATTATATAGTGTGTCATCACTATATCTTCAGTAGAGTCTGCAACAATCATAAGCACTCCATGAACCTACTCAATCTGTCTAACAAGGATATAGATTTTATGGAACATGAAGTATAAGGTAAATTCCATTTCTTAGATATCGGAATCAGACGGCATATTCAGAGCAAAAATACCTGGAGTGGAGTTTATAACAATCACTAGTTTCTGACAATGAGTTACAGAGGGTATTGTACGAACCCTTTTTGACTGCGCACGCAAACTTTGCTCAAGGGAACGCCTGAAAGACGAAATTGCTCTCATCACAAATTGCCTACGTGAAAATGCATATCCGGCGAAGTCCATCAAGAAATATGCCAAAACCAACCCTCGGGTAAAGTACGATAGAATGGAAAAGAAAACCTGCTTCTTAAACTCACGCTTCAAAGGAGACGAAATCACTGCTCTTAACAGTGCAATAGCTCAGTATTTACTTGACACCGGGCATACCGTTGAAACTAATGCTTTTAAAATTATTAGCAAAGAAATACTGCTTCTCTCCGTTTTGCTGAAGCAATCGCGATAAAAAAACTCAAACCTGATCTAAGTATTTAAAAAGAGACAGCAATAAACCTATTACTACCCTGGTAATTCAATTTTTTGGTCATTAGTTTTATTTTGCTATATTTATCTTCCATTACCAAATTCTTAAACCACGCCTTCATTCATACATTTCCACTCACTTGATTCTCTTAAATTATGTGAACTCTTCAAATTCTATTCAATTATTAAGTAACCCATCTTATCAGATTTTAAATTCATGAATCTTATGTAAACCCTCCATTACCTCTAAAATTATCACATAATATATATATATATATATATATATATATATTATTGATAACCTTTGTCATTCCAATTCTTTACATCCACTTATGTCAGTCGTTCCACACTATATCTTACCTCAATGTAAAATTCTAATACATATTTGGTTGTAAGTAGCTGATGAGGAACCACGAAATATAATGAATTCATATTATTCTGCATCAGTGTTCGTTCCGGCTTTATTTAAATTCATAAAAGGAACTAATTGCATAAAACGAAGTAACTGTAATCATTAACATCACCCACACATTTGAACAATATTAACGTCTGACTATGTTGCTTGGATTAAGAGGATGACATTAATGCTTTTTTAGCATTAATAATATAAAAAGGCTGTCCTTCCACTGGAATCGGGTCTATCACTATTAGAGCAATCCCATTTTAAAGATTGTACAATATCTCTCAGGATTAGACATTATAATATACTGTATAATGTATTTCACCAAGTATTTTATAGGATGACGATTGCAGTCCAATTTACCAGGAGGGACTGAGATTAAAGGTATTGTATTTTAATAGGGACTTGGTGAGCAAACATTAAACAAGAAAAACGTCTATATTCTTCTGACTGTTTGGGAAATCATCTAAGGAACACTAAAATAGGTAAAATATGGACTAAATTTTGGTGGTAATAGCTGACCTCAAATCTTCGATTTTAATTAAGTTTCGAGTCAAAACCAAATTTCATCCAGACTACAGCTACTAATTCGTCATTTTAGTAATAGAAAGTCGATCTTTCTACTATGTTATCTTTTAAAGTATAATGTCTTGAGTGGAATATTATATACTCAAAGAAAGTGAACCATAATATTGAATAGTATCCCGTTTCCTTGCTTCACTGTTTAGTTATTGATGGGATTTGAGTTTTCCTAATAGTGAATTCACTATAAAATGAAAAGTTGACGGGATTATTGTGAATATTATTCAAATAAATAGCATTTGTATTATACATAGATGTAAAAATACCGAAGATGGTATCCAAAATAGGAGCTTTAATTTAACATGTACGAATGATGAGATGATTGGATGTATGTGAAAAAATTCCAGTAACTTTCTGTATCTATATCATGTTCTTGTTAGCCCAATAGATCTGTACATCAGTAAATTTACTAAAAGTATATAATAACAGCTCAAACTCATTAATACTCTGCTTAGTTCAATATTAGAACTGGATAGACTTAATAAAATCTGTTTTACGCTATCGCTTAATGTGTTCACTAAGTTTAAATACGTCATGTAGAAAATGTGTCTTATATTTTACTTATTTCAGGACTAGTTACTTCTATCACTGAGAAATTTTGTAAGCCAATGGAATGGTAATCCATTATAGACGCACACAAATAATGTTATTCACATACAAGTTAATCAGTCCAAAGATGCAATAGCAATGACAGATGTTACACAGATTACTTCTAATAATTAAGATAACAAGACGTAACGTACCACTGATAGGTTAAAAAAGACTAAAAATTTACATGCATACACAATTTTGTATTCACTACAGATAACCCGGTAAAATTTCCGAAAGTTAAGTATCATTAAAACGTGCATACAACATAAAAAAATATTTTCCATAAATTTATTCACAAACATTGCCTAGGTCGATATGTAGTTATTCACAATCAATACATCTAAATAAATGGAAGATGCAGTGGGTGAGGAGTCATAAATCTGTTGAGAACTTCATCAGTAATCGCAGCTCGTCTTCTCTGGTGCTCTGTAACAAACTCAGTCAACAGTGTGATAAGCTCCTTTTTGATTTCACCTGTCAACAGTTTGCCACTAGAATAATCCTAAAAATATAAACACAAATTTTATGATTAAAGAAAAAACACAAACCTTACTGTAGAAATGAAACTGATAAATATGACCTAAAGAAACATGTCGGTTAACTAACAAACCACCAACAACATCATTAAAGCGAACAGATATACAGAAAGCTGACTTTTACCTGATGCTAATATTGATGAATGAGGTAGTGGGGAATATTTGTAGCCCAGGATTAAAATTTTGAGGATGTCGAAAAAGACAATGTATGCCTCATGATTAAACCATCCAGCTCAGAAAACATAACATTCTCAAAACCAATGAATGACTGTGATAATTTTTAAAATTAATATTTCAGCTCAAACAAATACGTAAACCATCCATTTGAGCTATAGATTTCCCACATCATTGCACTATGACTGGATAATATTCTGATTAGTTCTGCTAATAATTAGTACTTAAAAAGTAGGTATGCTCCACATATACCAAAAAATATCAGCACCCCTAAGAATGACATGATAATGTTAGTTACAGGATCATAATCATATGTATGGTGACAGAATTCACCTCTTCGCCAAAAAGCAGTCGTGTTTACGTCGCGTGGGAAGATGATAAGATACATTGCAATGTCGGTGACTGCAGAAATTAAACATGTTAATATATCAGAACGATTATTATTCCCTCAAAAAGTACATATCCATAGTTAGAGCTAGAGATAACATAATTATGTCTAAATAGGACTAATCCAAAAATGTGCACAAGTTCGCATACTTAGCTATAAATCAGATCCTGTATGTGAGTGATTACATAATAACTGGTTACATTTTAGTATGTGGATTGGGGTCCTATAACGTTGAAGCAGTAAGAAACTAGATGGAATGACCTTGTCGCATACTTATTTGGCTCATACTAACTACTAAGAAAAATTTTATATTTACTTTACTAAGTATAGAATGCAAAAAAGAAATGAACACATTTACAAATGAGTATTTTACGACAGTTTTAACTTTATTTCACTAAGTCTAATGTCATGCAACCAGTACATTCAAAAGAATTAATTTGCTGGCACAAACCTGACGTATTTGTTCTAGTTTTTGATCGTCTTCCAAGAAAAATCTCAAATACTGGTATGATACATCAATATCACAGTTTCCTCCACGTTCTCTATGTTCAGTAATTGTGTCGCCGCCACCAGAGTAAGCGTATTTATTGATCTAAAACAAGATGGACATGTTGGTGATATTTAAAAACTATGCACATAATTATTCATAGTGATATAAACAACATATACTGTGGGCATCTACTGAGATAAGAATAATTAGATATAAATGTGCTTAAAACAGATTATCGCTCTAGGGTACGATTAAAGTAGATTTCAATACTTACTTTATTTTTAACTTGCTTCGGTGTGTCTGTCAGAAAAATTGATGTGTTTGGATTGCTTGCACTCATTTTTGTTTGATTTCCTTGTAAAGCGGGGAAGAATACTGAGTATATAAGAGAAGGTTTAGGTAGTCCAAGGCGCGGAGCAACGTCTCGAGTCATTCTAAAGTATGGGTCTTGATCAATAGCACAAGGAATTAAACAACCGACATCCTCTGGTTTTTTAAGATTTTCAAAAACAGTTGGAAACGATTGAGCAAACGAAGGAGCTGCTTGGATAGCCGGGAAAGATATTTTTCCGATACAATCACTGTCATTGAAACCGAAAATCGCACGAGCCTGATTATATGTAACCAAGCGTTGTATTTGACAGATGGTACGATAGAAATCTGGGCATGTTCTACAGATGAAGATAGAATTTCAAACTTAGTGAATAATATATATAGATAAATAAAGGTGTAAATTGCCTAGTAATCATTAAAAAACGCCCCGAATTACTTTTAAAATACAAACCTTGGACCTGGTTATTCGATTTCCGGTTCAATTTTGAATTGTTATAAAACTGCTTTTTGACAAAAGGCTTGCACGCTTCAGGAAATATCATCATTTATACATTTAGAA